ATGAGATCCTTCAGCACTACGGGATTCCCATTGTATCGCGCTGCCATTGTTGTCATGCGGAGATAGAGACTATCTCACATGTCTTTATAGATTCGGGAGTTGCCATGAGAGTTTGGGGGCACTTCGCAGCATTATTTGGGATATCGTTGCCGGAGACACACACTCCGCATTTGTTGGTGTCATCATGGAGACTCTCTTCGACGCGTTCTCAAAGTATTAGGGCGTATGTTCCATTGTTGGTATTCTGGTTCATTTGGACAGCTCGGAATGACGCGAAGCACAGGGGGCTTCGAGTGTCTTCCGAGAGGATCATCTGGCGGATTCATGCGCATTTGCAGACCCTATGGCGGGCTAGGGTCCTTCTGCGTCGACATTGGGAGGGCGATTTCCATATTGCTGCTGGGCTTGGATTTCGATATCCCCCTCCGGTCCCTCGACCTCCGATTATGGTGCGTTGGGAGGCACCGTCCCCGGGATGGTTCAAGCTTAACACCGATGGTGCTTCGCTTGGCAATCCCGGGGCAGCGGGAGCGGCCGGTCTTATCCGGGATTCGACTGGAGCAGTGCTCGTCGCATATCAGGTTCCGATTTCACACGCGACGAACACTCTGGCAGAGCTGACTGCGATTCAGAGGGGAGTTGGGATTGCGATTGATCGGGGATTGGTGCCATTGTGGATCGAGACAGACTCGACGGCATGTATTTCTCTGATCTCCTCCTCGATGAGTCATTGGTCGCTTCAGAGGTGTCTTCTTACTCTTCGCATGCGCTTACGGGATACGACTTGGAGGATCTCGCACATTTATCGGGAGGGGAACCGTGTTGCGGATATTTTAGCAACGACAGCAGTCTCCCTTCCGACGGAGCGGATACTTCTTCCGATGGATCTCCCTCGGGCGACCAGAGGCCTCCTACGAGCGGATGCCGACGGACTTCCGGGCTTCCGTTTCTGATTATAGGCCTCGTCTTGGTATGACTTTACTTACTCATTGATACTTTGGCTTGATTGGCTTAGTGTTGATTGGTGTTGATGACTTAGGCATTTTCCCTTAGGATAGATACTTTGATTACATAGGCCTGCCATGCATGTTTGTTTACTTGGACTATGTAGCTCTACTAAGAACTACGTATGGCTTGATCCCGTTCGGGTACGTAGGCAGCCCACCTTGGGTTCAGCCACCGCTATATAGTTTTTTTTTGTTTTTTAAAAAAAAAAAAAAAAAAAACCCTAACCCCCAAACCCCCAAACCCCCAACCCCCAAACCCTAACCCCCTAACCCCTAACCCCTAACCCCGTAACCCCCTAACCCCGAACCCCGAAACCCAAAACCTCAAACCCCAAACCCCTAAACCCCTAAACCCCAAACCCAACCCCCAACCCCCAACCCTAGACCCCAGACCCCAGACCGTAAACCCTAGACCGTAAACCCTAAACCTTAGACCCTAAACCCTAGACCCTAAACCCTAAACCCCAACCCTAACCCAAACCCAAACCCAAACCCTAAATCCTAGACCCTAGACCCTAAACCCTAAACCCCAATAATAAATTGATTTACGTATACTTTGGATTTTGAACCCTTATATACACATTGTGGAGTTTCTTTTGAGGGTTATGACCCTATGTTTGTTATGTGAAATTATGTGACGTGTTATACGAAGTAATAAGGTTGAAACTATATAGCAATGGTTGTACCCAAAGTGGACTGCCTACGTATCCAAACGGGATCAAGTCATACGTAGTTCTGCTGATACAGGCTAGACAGTCCAAGTCAAACAAAACAGACCAGACAAGCCTAGGTAGTCTAAGTATCAAAGGTCAAAGGCAAAATGCTTAAAGCATCAACACCAACCAAGCAATACTAGTCAATCAAGTCTAAGTAATATCAACACTAATTGTCCCAAAAAACAAATAAAAAGGTGAAGTCTGCTACCTGAAACGAAAAGTCGGGAGACTATCTGCATCGGCTCGAATGAAACTTTTGATCAACGAAAGGGTTATCTGTCGGGAGAAGTGTCCGTTCAATCGAAAGAAAAACCGCCAGAGTCGCTAAGGAATCTGCGACACGGTTCCCTTCCCTATATATATATGAAATATCCACCAAGTCGCATCTCTAAACCAAAAACCTTGAACCTGTCAGAAGAGCCAACTGGTTTTCACCCGCCAGTGCCCGAATAGCGTTCAACAATAGCTCCGATTTGTGACTGGATTCAGCACAGCATGTCTTCCTCTCACCTACTTGGGTATGTCGCTTTACGTGGGAAATCGGCGCAACATCTTTTACAAGGGCCTTCTCGGGAAGCTCTGTTGATACTTGCAGCGATGGGATCGCTCAATTCTTTCTCATGGTAGCTGTTTGCAGCTGATTCAGAGCACGCTCCTTTCACTCCCTCTCTATTTGTTACAGGTCCTTAGTCCCCCGCAGATGGCTACACACAGTGAAACAACTCTTTGTACGGTTTTTTTGGGGACCTACCATGGCCATCGCCGCCAGCACTGAATCTCCTGGGACGATGCTGCATGGCTGCAGAAGGGGGGCGGCACTGGAGTTCGTCGGCTGTAAGACATGGTTTGTGCATTCTCTTTCGAATTATGGTGGCGATTGCGTGATGGCACCTCTCTCTAAGCGAGTTCGATGCACATAAGTACTTTTGGAGATCCTTCCTTGGCCTTGCTCTCTGTCAGAGCTACGACAACCCGGTTTGGAAGCGTCTGTGCCAGGTTCACGAGAAGGCGCAGAGCCAGATAACTTGAAATTTGGTACGTGGAGAGTGCTTTTTGTACGATATCTGGTATGGGGATAGACCCCTCGCGGCCTACAGGAGTGACCGGCCGCTGTCGACCAGGTCCACGAGATATGGCATGCTGGTTCGTGATACTTGCCGCGGCTCCGGGCCTATCTCCCGGCATCCTTGGTTCAGCAAATCTCTTCGGTTTCGTTTGACCCCCAGGCAACGCATACGCCTATCTAAAAGGACTCGGCAACATGTACTTTTCATACTACCTCGGCATGGGAGCTTACTCAGACTGTTGGTGTGCGGAGTTGACTTTCTTGCAGCTTGTGGTTGTGATTGCTTACGCCTACGATGTCGGTGTTCCTATGGCGGTTACTTCGCCTTCGTATCCTGGTCGATGAGGCCCTTCAACGATTCAGCATCCCTCTTATCTCTCGTTGTCAGTGTTGTCCGGCATCGGAGATGATTGAGCACCTATTTCTCTCCTCCGCGACCGCCCAGCACATGTGGCACCACTTTGCTGACTTATTTCACCTACCACTTCCAGTGACGCACACGGCCCACTTGATGGTTTCCGCGTGGCGCTTATCTTCCCCCTACACGCGGAGCATTCGTGTCTACATCCCGTTGTTGACCTTATGGTTCCTTTGGACGGCACGGAATGATGCCAAACATCGAGGTATCCGTGTTTCCTCTCACCGGACTATTTAGTGTGTTCACTTTCATTTACAAGTCCTGTAGCGAGCTGGTGTTCTTCAGCGGCGGCATTGGCCCGGCGACTTACATCTCGTTTCTCGTCTTGGCCTTCGATTCCCGCCTTCAGTTCCTCGGCCACCAATCCTTGTGTGATGGGAAGCTCTGACACCAAGATGGTTCAAGCTGAACACCGACGGACGCCACCGAGGCTACTCTTGCGGTCTTCCAGGTTCCGCTCCTACATGCAACAAATACTTTGGCCGAGCTCCAGGCAATTCGGTCTAATGTGAATCTGGAAGTGGTGCGCGACTACCACCCATCTGGATCGAGACAGACTCTGCTAGCAGTATTTCCCTAATCTCCTCATCGACAGGACATTGGACCTTGCAACCATGTCTCCATCACCTTCGCCTAAAGCTGCTTACCGTGGAGTGAAGGATCTCACACATTTACCATGAGGGCAACCGTGTGGCCTTGGCGACTGGGGCATACTCCCTTCCCGACGCGCAAACGCTAGCCCCGGCAGACATCCCTCCGGCAGCTCGCAGTTTCATTCGCGCTAACGCGGAGGGCTCTCATGTTTTCGTTTTTGCTAGCTTTTCTTAGTTCTTTATCTCTTTCATCTATGCTTTTCTTTCCTAGTTCTTGGTTCTATATGGATTTAGAACTACGTATAGCGTAGGCAGCTCACTTTGAGCGCAACCAAATGAAAAACCCTATACCATAAACCCTAAACAAAAAAACTTTAAACCCTTAACCCTAAAACCTAATACAAGTGACACTACAAAGTACCAGCCAGCTGCATTCGCCCAAATGAAACCACGAGCCGCTGCCGGGATTTTTGCTGCATTAAGGGCCAGCTATCGAGAATGGAACAAGTTGTCGTCGATAAAGCGTCCGCGACTCGGTTTCCCTCGCAATAGATGTGGAAAATACGCCAAATAATATTGTGTAATCGCAATCAAAGTCAGAGGAGGCAATCCTGTAATGACCAATGTCCCATTGACGAGGAGATCAAAGTAATATTAGTCGCCAAATCCGTCTCAATCCATATCGGCAAGAAACCTTGCTCCACCGCCAAGTTGACTTACTTTAGACTTAGGCTTTAAGTGATTGAATACTTGAATTGATCATGTTGATTGTACTTAGAGAACTATGTACGGGTTAATCCCTAAACCCTAGAATTCTACTACACTTACCCAAGCAAAAGCAAACTGGTAAAAATCCACCAAACCTTAACAGTTGCCAAATTCAGCTTCTAAACCACCGTTGCCGATGATAAAAACTACCCTAAAGCCATGTTGCTATTTCAGTTGCAATTTTGTAACGGATTGTATTATTCTTTGTATAATTCCTAGAATTTACGTGACAAATCTATTATGTTGCAATACTCTCTCAAAAAATCACAACTACAAGCATTTCCTATTTTCTTAGCAAATTCCGTTACAATTTTACAATGAGTTATATTCCATAGCAAAATCTCGTGGCAATTTGAAATTTTTTTGTAAATGTGATGAATTATTTGCATAATTATCTTGTCTAATAAAGAAAACCAGTACTATAAGTTCACATCTAAAAACTGTTTCATAAATACATAAAATGAATAATATTTAATCACCTCAACAAATTGATTTTCCCCGACAAGTTTTGATCCCCATCTTCACTAAAGTCATAATTTTCATAAACTTGAAGCAGAAGCTCCCGACATGGAACAACAGCCTCAATCTTGATGCAAGCAAGGAAAGCACCAGACAGCTTCCTGTGTAAGCTGTATACCTCTTCCGGAGGAGGTGTCAGCCTGTGCCTTAGCATGGTGGCACCAAGGTTTGAAATGCTCTGAGTAATATTGGTTGATCCAAAATCATAGCCCCCATGCCTAGAAAATGGCAACCCTACAACAAAACCTGCTTGTACATGAGCCTCTAGCATAATTTCAGATTCCATTCCAGTTAGGAATCCAAGCTTCCTTGACATCTCGATCAGTGCTTCTTGGTCTTTATTTGCACAAGCAAGAACCTGATCCGTCATATTCACTTGTGAGCTTTTTTGTTGGTATTTAACTATTTCAAAATCTTTTTTAAAAAAAAACATCAGATCAAATACTATTTTTTATTTATTATATTTTATTAAAATTCAATTTGATACTTAAAATATTACATCAACATATATTTATATCACATCAAACAATTATTTCAATTCAAAGTTATACTATTAAAACCCAAATCCAAAACCCACAACCATAATAAAGTCACTGATTCATTTACAGGACTACTAGGCATATGCTAAGCAAAATGCAACTGAAAATAATAAACACTAACAATGATTTTAAAGTTTTTAACACAGAATAAAAATAAACTGCAAGCAAAATTTAAGACATCCACAATAATCATGTCAAAAGCAATTCCAGATTAAGAATGAAAACCAGCATATTTTAGAATACTTCATTTAAAGCTAAATAAATGAAGAGAAGAAAATTACCATCCTTAAATAATCATCCACAAAATGTTTTGGGTAGTCCCTAGCTGCTCCAAAGTCTATAAGATTGATGGTTTTTTCTGCCTCATCATATAGGAAGTTACTCCAGTTTGGATCAGTCTGCTTGACAAACGGGAAGAATTAAATTGTGGACAAAGTGAATGAAAATTAGTGCTTTACATGCACATGGATTTAGAATCCTGTGTGGAACTAGAAGTTTATAAAGAAATTTAGTTATACATACACACACACACATACACTATAGGAAGAACATATGGCATAATCATAGGTAAAGTTCTCGAGATAATTCAGCAACCACAAATTACCTAATTCTGAACTCTGAGAAAGCTAGTGCGCTTACTATGGATCCTTTTTATGAGAAAGCAGTGATATATTTTTATTTATCTACGATCTTTTTTCTTTTTGGAGACTGCACTACATGAAGAAACATCACATGGGTTGACAGAATCCAAAACAATATAGCCTTAATAAAACAACTCATCAAAACTAACCTAATGGATTATTTGGAAGGGGGAAAGAAAAACCCTAGCTGACGTTCGTCCAATATGCTTAAAAAAACATGGATAAAGTAATTATATGACCAATACAAGCAGCAATTCAAAACATTGTTTATTATTCATATCCATGAAGGTCAAGATTTTGGCAAAAGCCACACCGACAAATATCTCAAAGATTTATACAAATATTCACTATATTTTGTAATAACATACATAAAGAATTTTTAAAAAAAAAAAATACAACAGTATGGAGAGAGAGTGGAAATTTTGAAGACAAACAACTAATTTTCACAAGAAAGATTGAATTCTTACATACCTCCATGTGATTCAACCTCCAATGTTAGCAGTAACTTATAAATTATTGTCCACTCACATAATATAAATCCTGATTATGTTTGGAACTTGGAAGTACAAAGAGGATTCTACCATTCTGCCTCAACCCCAACAGAAGCCACTATAAACTAAAATTCATGACATGAATTTAGTATAATATAAAAATAAAAAATAGGTCTTTGATTTAATATTTTTTTAGAGAAAAATTTAATGAATAATGAAAATTGTTGAAACGAACACAACCTAAGTGTATTCGATATCATTTGTGCATAAATTCATGCAAAAAGAAATGAAAAAGAAAATCCAGTCAAAACATTCCAATTAATTAGAATTATATAAATAAGCTGCAAACACTCATTTCTAGATGCCCTGATATTATTTTCCATCGCATAACTAGAAGATAGAAGTGGAAATAATCCAATTAGTTTTCTTGAATAAAATGGAGCCACAAATGGAGGACTTTATTGCTTGGTTTTGGAGTTATTTGTTAGAGTTTCCCAGATCTAAATTTTGAGCTTGCTCATTAAGAATTTTTTCATTTGAGATCTGGGTTATGGTTTTGTACTAGTTGCTACCAAAATAATAGTCTACTAAAATTTCCTTAATTTCCAAAAAAGAAAAAATTACATGAAATCTAATCATACATTTATCATTGAACTCATGAAAACATAAAAATAATAATTATGAATATATCCCATATCTGCAGCTATATATAAAGGCTACTACTGTGCACTGCTGGATAGTCATTCATGGGGCAACTCCAATGGAAATACCATATTATAGTCTGTGTTCTTTATTCTCTCTTCAACATGATTAAATTTTCAACAAACAAATTTAGAGAAAAAGCTTAAGCATATAATGAATTCATCAAAAGATACGTAATTTAAGTGTGTCCTAGTATGTAGTTCTATGATCATTTTCAAAGCCTTTGTGTCACCAAGTGAACTCAACTAAATGAATTTCCGAATAGGAACACACATATGACATATTTTTAGAATGATATTTTGAAATTAAAAGTAATAATGGGTTTGTTTGCCCAACTATTTTTTCCTCCGATAGAATTTTCAAGTTATATAATATATATATTATCGATACGATTTCAACATTTAATATAAAATATTAGTTTTATATTATCGATACGATTTCCTATGCCTCACATCAAAAAAATACCTCAAATCAAAACACTAAACAAACAAACCCAATAATAATAATAATAAAGGGGAAAAAAAAGAAAGAAAAATAAAGAAACACAGAAAAAAGAATAAATCAACAGTAAAGTATATATAGAGATCATGCCTGCATAAATCGGAAGACAAACAATTCCATCAAAGTAAGCTCAAGTAACTTCCTCCCAACATAGTTGCGTGTCTCTTGGTCCATTAATGCCACCTTATCAACTGGACTGCCTGAAAATAACCAAAAAGAAGTTAGTATCATCATTAATCCTTAACTACAAACAGCATTGGGAAGAAATCAATTGTTCCTGCCAACTCTAATAAGCTGTAATTTGGTTGGATGATTGGTGTAGGTCTTGCTGCTCTGGAAAAAAACAACTATACTCAGACATATATCTTATAGCCTCTTCTACTTTAGTTCACACATCTCTGATCATATACAGCAAAAGCAAAATGAACAAATGGATTAGGTATAAAATCTCTTTTTGATAAACTCGCACAGGAAGCAAGGGTTACTAGCAAAATGTATAAAATACTTTCACAAAGTGGAGGGAAAAAAAGAAAAACAAGCATGAAAATGAGCAACCAAGTCCAAGACAAGGAAAATAAAATGCCTTGAAAATGAGCAACCAAGTCCAAGATCACATGTCATCCTATATGATGCATGGTCATGGGAAAAGAGATAAACACAATACACATTAATACAGTATTTGAACATCCAAAAATCAAAGAGAATGTGAAAAATTACAAAGATTTCCATATCATGTTAGCTTATAAATCTAACAATCATATAGAAATTTTACATGGATTATGGAGGGTGCCAATAGAAAATTGACCACCATATGTATAGTTATATTGTACTCCAACTTGCACTAAGATTTAAAATTCACAAATATATAGCTTGAAAAGAAGTGTAATACTAATATTAGTTTCCAAATAAAATGTCAAATTGTCAAAGTGTTGAAAAGGGATTCTTTTAGATGAGACTTGTCTGGACCGGAAATGAAAACAACCAAATAAGAATTTCATTGTCATATAGAGAAAAAGACTTCTTCTTTAATTTTCAATTCCTGGCATGGTACTTATAATGTACTGTATTAAGAATTTAAGATTCACAGGATATAACACAATCAGTTTTCTATTACTGATTAAAGGTTTTTCATTAATTGAGAAAAATGATGATGGGATAAATACACACCAGGAACTAGTTCTGTTGTCAGTACTCTTCTGCTTGATAACTCATCCACAACGAATGGCACATAAAATCCTTTTTCATTACCCAGCAGACTACGGAATTTTTTCTGACTAAGGGCCTCCAACTCATAGTCACATTCACGAGAAAGTTCTTTTTTGGCAACCTGTGAAGAAATTAATGGAGAAACTCACACATTATCATATATTGTGAAGAAATGAATGGGAAAATTGATTCATATTTTTGGCCGGTTCCACAAGATACATATATAGGAATACATATAAATAAAAAATTAAATCTAATCCTAAAATCCTAGGCAATAAATCAATCTATACTAACCTCTTGGTGTAAGGGATTCAAATACAATATATTTCTATTTAATTATCTGTAAATCCACATTAATTACATCTACATAAATCTAACCAAGTATTTTGACATACACCATGATGTATATATTTAAGTTCTTTGTTACAAGCCTCAAGCCTGCTTTCATTGAAAAGCTAAATATTTAAGAATATGTTGGAAGAAATAAATTAAAAATGAGAGTAGTTTGAAGCATATAATCAGTCATTCATGACATACAACAATGTCATGTATTCTAATTTTCCAGCTTGTCTAACGCATAGTTCAGGTAGATGATAGATAGCCACAGGACTTTAGGGTAGTACCCTCTATAAATGGTACCTAACATTTTTTTTAACTCTTAAGTTTCAGGTTGGGCAGATAAATGTAGTGCTTGTATACACTTACAAGAAAACAAATTGATAAAATCTTACGTATGACAATGACAGGTCTCATCGAGCACATTGGCAACAAGAACATTATTAGCTACCCAAAAATATAATGTAGTGGTTCGCATACTGTTCCTTAGATTCAGGCCAAATTATCTTTAGAAAATTCCAAAGAATTTGATCGACTTCCACAAGTAGGATGACCCTACCATCAATAAAAGGTAAAAATAAATAAATAAACCACTTAGGGTGTGTTCGTTTATGGGTTTTATACAAAATTCTACTATTCATCAAATTTCCCCTTCCCTAAAACATGCAATCAAACACCTATTTTTCATTGTTTATATTATATTAGAAATTAATTTTATATTCAAAATATTACATCACACCCATTTATATCACATCATACAACTATCACAATTCAGAAATTTTACTATTCAAATTCCAACTAAACATCCAAACCCCCAAACAAACACATCCTTACTGATTAATATATCATCATTATAATAATGAATTATATAAAAACCAAAACATGCTAGAATTTTAGAACTTGAAGTTTCTATTATGCATAGGCTTGAGGAAACACTTACACAATGTAAAATACAAAGTCTTCTAACAATTTACGCAATGTCTAAATACATTCTAAGTTATATTTAGGGTATGTTTGTTTGGGAGTTTGGATTTCGAGTTGGGATTTGAATAGTAAAAATTTTGAATTTGAATAGTTGTATGATGTGATATAAATAGGTGTTGATGTGATGTTTTGAATGTAAAATTGATTTTTAGTATAATATAAAAAATAAAAATAAGTGTTTGATTTGATGTTTTTTAGAGGAAAAAATGGGATGAATAGTGGATTGAAAATCCAATCCCCCAAACAAACACACCCTTAGTAGATTTTCATCTATATGTATTTACCAAGGATGTGTTTGTTTGAGAGTTTGGATTTTGAGTTGGGATTTGAATAGTAAAAAATTTGAATTGGAATAGTTGTATGATGTGATATAAATAGGTATAGATATGATGTTTTGAATGTAAAATTGATTTTTAGTATAATAAAAAAATGAAATTTAGGTATTTGATTTGATGTTTTTGGAAAAAAAAAGTTTGATAAATAGTGGAAATACTGACAAATCTCCCAAACAAACATACCTTAAGAGTGTTGGTTCAGCAAGGTCCCCTCCCAAAAAATTGTGGTGGATTGCAATTTGAAAAATGCTTTTACTTGAATTTTTGGCTCTACCCCACCGTGAAAATTGAACTCGGGCATCAACAAGTTTCATATCTTTGTCAAAAAGATCCCCTTGTCACCTTCAAACATATACTCTTAAGTGCAAATGAGGTGGCATACTACTTCACAAACAGCGGCTATCAGTCTAGCTATTGTTTTCATTTATATTTTTCCCTAGCCTTTTGTCTATGTAGCTAAATATTTGGCTCCGCATCAGTAAAACTATTTTTCTCCTAAATATACAATTTATAGCAAATTATATGAATACAGTTTAGTACGATGAGAATGATTGTTTGCTGTGCTTCCTAACATAAAGTATGCAAGAAACAAATGATGTTCCATGTAACTTTGTTTATAATCAAATGATATTTCCATCCTTGGGCATGGCTTATTTTTTAGAACCTGAATTTAACCCAAAGTAACCATCAAATATCATAAGGCAGGAAGTGTGGTCAATGATCTCAGTTTTAGACCCAACAAAGTTTGGAAAAGGCTACCAAACTACAGAGTCATCACAAGCAAGGGTAGACAAGATAGACTTCCAATGTACAAAGTGGTCGTAGCAAATTTTCAGCATCTTTAATAACACCAAAATTTGATGGTGAAATATGAGACTCAAAAATGCAAAGGCTCCTTTGCACTATTATAGGGCCAACCAATCATATTCATATGATCATGAAACAAATTTATTAGGAACAACAAAATGCAAAGAAGGCATACCTTCATTGCATTGTCAAGATATAGCTTTTCTGGTATAAGACTTGTATAAGTCAATAGCAACTTAACATTCTCAATGTCGCTTTCAATGCTATCTGCAACTCCAGGATATTGAATTTTAATGGCAACATCCAAGCCTTCCTTTGTGACAGCCCGGTGAACCTAAAAGAGATTTAAAAATATCAAGAGTTAAAAAATGACAGCTGTAGATATGCAGCAATTGTTACACACTTAGAGATGTAGGCACTCAGAAATATCTGAAAACTTTTCACTCAAAAGAGAATTGACATCTCTGAGGCTCAAAAGAGTTTATGGCTTAAGACTATTCCACTGCAATCTAATAACCAGTATTCTTCACACTCCCTCCATCAACCTCAACCCAGTAGCAGCCATAGTCTATCCAGGTTCGCCAAAAAAGTATTTTCTTCCAATTCAGGGATAGGCAGAAAATGGAAAAAAATAAATAAATAAAGAGTGTGTTTGTTTGAGGGTTTGAATTTTGAGTTGGGATTTGAATAGTAAAAATTTTGAATTTGAATAGTTGTATGATGTGATATAAATTGGTGTTGATGTGATGTTTTGAATGTAAAATTGATTTTCAGTATAATATAAAAAATGAAAAATAGGTGTTTGATTTGATGTTTTTGGGGGGGAAAAAATGGAATGAATAGTTTATTTAAAATCCAATCCCCCAAACAAACACACCCAAAAAGAATCATGATGGAGAAGGTTAAGAGGGAAAGAAAGTACACTATATAAATCCATATTCAGATTACATTATAAAATGAGTATGAATTTCACATATAAATAACATCATAAATGAGTGACTTGTATAATAAAGCATTGAGATAATCATTACTTTTTAGGATGCAATACCTATATATATATATATATATATATTCTAATATACATGCACAGGTATGTTTATATAAGCTCAAATTTTCATGATATATGCATGATTATCATCCACATTAAAAACAATCTATACATATATGAAAATAATAATATTTTAGTTTACTAAGATTGGTCTATGTTATGTTAACTGCTCTTATTTGGCCAAACAACCCAAGTTGTGTTCATTAGATCTGGATCCAGGAGAGAAACAAGGTCTTCTAATCATTTGGAGTCAATAGTATGGGTACAACTAATCTGATGTCAAATCTTTCTCAAAACTTGGAGATGCAACCAGAGTCCATATTGTCTCAGATATGGCAGTGAGGGACTCCTTGGAAGAAATTGAAACATTAAAATTTTTTAAAGAGCTGAAACAATTGGAAAAGTGAACAAATAAAACATAATGCATCTGAAATGATAATTTTAATAATTTAGCCCATATCCCCATGTTGGATCAGATTTGTACTTTTTAGATATACTTCCCAGTTCTTCAAAGACAAGACAATCGAGTGTATCTGTTATAAGTTGTGCTCTATTACAAGGCTTAAGGATATGAGCATTTCATTTGAGAGTGCTGCAGCATTAAGCCCCTGCTTTGAGGTGCTACAAAAATGGCTTCCTGTATTGTATAATGGTCAAAATAACGTTATCCATCTCTGTTAATTACATTCAAATCTAATCACAAATGATAAACTTTATGGTGCATGAGAATGTTTTGGGTTGAAGTTATTCCCTTAACAAAATTGTAAAATAGGGTTATGTGTGATTGCATTTAGAGTGAGTTATTTTTTTTGTTTTTTTAGACATTATGGTTGATATGATGTTATGAATAGGTTATGGTATGAATGTGGATTTTGGGAGACTTTTGAAATATAAAAAGACAAACCATTAATATTATTTATTTTTCATGCATAATCGAAAGCATAATTAAAGATTAAAGCAAACTTTTATATATATTTATAAAAGGAACAAAGTCTTTTAATACAATCAAGGATAGCGAAGGTTTTGTTCTTTTAGTGTTTATAATTTGTTGGGATTTTAGTTGTTAATTATTGGGAATTGTGAAAGTATTTCGAAAAATTGTGATTTCATTTGGTAAAACTAATTTTTATTATTTTTGAATATTGTGAAAAAAAATAATATATTTTTATTGAAAAAGTGAGAAGAATTTTTTAATTGCGAACGGTGTAATGGTAACAATGGTAACAGAACAAGCTATAAGGCTTTGTTTACTTGAAGTTTGGTTTCACTAAACATTACGTCCATGTCACTGTTCAAACCAAAATCCAAAATCTAAAACCAAAACACAAACTCAAACACCAAGTAAACAAACCCTTAGCTCTTATGTACAGGGGAAGAAAAGATTGAAAATCGTATCAGAACAAACAAGAATCAAGTTTGTGGACATGTAATTTTTGCCTTGCCTCACTCATGAGATCACATTTCATCCAACCAGATTGAAGGGAAAAATTAAAATTAAAAAATAAGAGTGCATTTGGTTTCCAGTTGAATTTTTGAATTTGAAGTTGGATTAGAAGTGATTTATTTAATTAATATCTTTTTTATGATGTAATATATACAAAATTAAAAAAATTAAATGTGTTTAATTATTTTAATATTTTTAATAAAATATTTACAATATGGGCATTATTTTGCAAATAATAAATTTTATATAATGTAAATAAATAAAAAATATAATACTCATTTATATTAACATAAATTAATTTTATAGATAAATTGGGAGTTTTGAATACATATATATATTGATTAATTGAAAAGAGATATAGAAATAGAAAGTTTTGAATGAATTTTAAGTGGATCACATATGACATAATATTTTAAAAAATAAATTGGGAATATAGTTCCAACCGAGGTTGAAACGGTAGACCCTAAGTCATTTTGAAAAACAAACTCCACAATTATTCAAATGAAGTTACTAACCATACAAAGGGGTGTTTGATTCAACTAAAGGGAGGGAAAGGAGCGAAAAACTAAAACTACAATAGTATGTTTGGTCAAATGAAAGGGAAAGAAGGTGAAGAAAAGTAGACAGGATTGGTCTCTGCTAGAATAATCCAACGAAGAGGGCGATTGGAAAACTAATTTGATTTTATTTATATAATTACTTATATTTTATAATTTAATAATAATTCTATCATATATTTGTTTATATAATTTTTTAAACATATTATAATTAAATTTGGTTAGAATAATTCAATTAAAAATATTAAAATATGTACAATATAATTTATGTACAATATAAACATTATTTATTATCGAATCAAATATTTATAAATATAAATCTAAAAATTCTAATTTTCATATTCATAGTTGATTAATAATTTATTTGAATAGAATACATGTACTTGAATTTTATTCATAAAAGTTTTAATATAAATAACAAAATTTTCAATCGAACATAAAAATTTTATTCATTCACAACCCAAAGTAACAAATACTATAAAATAGAAAGCAAAATAATTAAGTTTAGGGTTTAGAGGGTATAGATGGATTTTCAAATAAAGTATTAAGTGTATAATAGGCAATTAAAATTAAAATTAACAAAAATTCTCATCCCCTCTACTGGATCTTGTGGAATTATGTTGAATATACCATACCTCCGTCCTAAAAAAATATGTGAACCAAAAAAAAGGGAAAAAAAAACCACTCCCCTCTCCTATCATAGTTAGAGGTTATAATATACTGTCAGGGGCATATGTAATGTTTAGGAATGTTTTCCCTTTCCCTAAACATTCATAAAGATCACAACCTTGGCCTATTCACATGCAATGCACATGTATATCTGTGTAGTGCATGCGTATGGGCACAGAGGATCAAATACAAGCATAAAAGTGCAGTAAATAACATCACCTGTCCTATACTAGCTGCAGCCATTGGCTCGTAGTCAAAACTCGTCAACTTAGAAGACCAGTTGGAACCCAACTCAGCATTCAAAACCTGATTCAGCTGTTTCCTAGGCATCCTATCAGCACCCTGGCGGACAATTTCCAATGCAGCCAAAATCTGCAGGGATATATGAGCTAAAGCAATTAATCATAATTTCAAACAACCAAGTTTCATAAAAGTTAATAACAGTCCATTACAATAATTTTCAGGAATAGTGCTCCATCTTATTTCAAATAAGCATACAGGATTCACGAGGGATGTGGAAGCTTGAACTCCAAGAAAGGGGGGAAAGAAATTTGCCCTTATCAGTATCCTCTAACTTGTTCTTAATTCTTATGCCATGCAAATTAATCAAAGATCACTAATAACAGCCTAGACATCTGATATATTAACTATACAGATATCATGAATTTTCAGGTTAAGCATTCTAATATAGTATTTATACTTCTCTTCTGAAAGAAAGGTATGCACTTTAGAATAGTTGTATTGAAGAAATTTATCCAATGAAGCACATACAACAAAACAAATCCAAGATTATACAATTCACAAAAACTAGAAAATTTGACAGTCCGGGTATTTATGCCACCATAACAGATGCAATTAATGATGAAAGTTGTGGGAAAATAAGGCATGCACCCCTTGCCTAATTTACTCCATATTTTTTTACATTATTGGGGCATCTTTGGAAGCATCACAGCAAGTATACTTTAACTAGTTTAAAAGGCTAGAAATTCACAATAACAATTATTATATACACGCAATTGGCAAAATGAATATGGATATCTTGATGCACTTGACTAGATAAAATAAGCAATGGGTTCTTTAGGAGAGCAGCGAGATAGCACCATTAGATAGCACAAATAAGAGAAAGAAAAGCCCCTACAACAAAACGAATCCAAGATAATACAATTCATGAAATACGGAAAATTTGACAGTCCAAATATGTATGCCACCGTAGCAGATGCAATTAATGATAAAAAGTTGTGGGAAAAAAAAGGCATGTGTCTCTTGCCTAATTTACTCCATAATTTTTGGCATTAGTGGGGCACCTTTGGAAGCATCACAGCAAGTATACTTTAACTATCTTAAAAGGCTAGAAGTTCACAATAACATGATTACATATACGCAATTGGAAAAATGAATATATCTTGATGCACTTAACTAGGGGTGTATTTCTTTTGATTTGGTTTGAAAAAAATTTATTTGGATTTGGTATTAAAATAATATATGAAGTGATGTCTCGTGAAAAAAAATGTATTTTTCTGATAAACGTAGAGTCCAAATAGTAAAATTTGAGTTTGGGGGCAAAAGAAACACACCCTAGATAAAATAAGCAATGGGTTCCTTAGGAGAGCAGTGAGACAGTATCATTAGATAGCATAAATAAGAGAAAGACACCTACCATGGTTTAATTTGGTCTATAAGAGACCCTTAAATGCCCAATCACATATAGAAATCGAAGCCCCAATTCTTATCCAATAGAAGAGGGAGGAAATTATTAGAAAAGACATCGTATTAAAGCTAGGGAAAGAACGCACTTCAAATGGTATTAAGCAAAATCCAAGACTAACTATTTCGAAGCCATTTCTAGTCGACAACCTTCATGAGGTATCTCACCCAAACCTAAAGATCATAAAGGCAGCTGGACACAAAGACTGAGTTTGCATCATGCATGTACGGTAAAAGTCCTCTTAAATCTCTAAAGAAAGAGCTTGCAAATCTAAATAAGATGCCATAAACATCTAACATGGATACTTCACAGTAAAATTTGACATTATCCAAACAGAAATACATTGACGTACAGGAGCAGGCACAAAAGATTCATCCTGGATGCTCAACATTTGGCCTAATTTGAGAGCTGCTCCACGCATTCTGCACAATGCAAGAGCTAAACGTTCTGCATTTCTCTCGGACAGAAATGGGGAAAGGTCAGCATTGTCATTTTCTAAGTTAGGAGTACCAAACATGATCCTCTTTGCAGACTCCTGAAGTGTACCCCATGCAAGACCCACTCCAAGCCCAGCAAATCTACAATGATTTCATATTATTATTCAAACCATCCTCTCCTTTTTTCCAAAAGAGATCAGCTGTGTAGCTCAATGAAGCTAAGGACACCCTTACAGAACTTGGGAGGAAATAAACAAACTAGATCAAAAGAAAAGTCACAAAGAGAGTGGAATGACACACAAGTCTGTATAATTGAAATTGGCCAGATAAGAAATTAACGGTCATAAAATATCATTTACATTTTTTTCTTAATGACAAATGAATGAAGATACTGCTCGAATATGTCAAATACATGCCAAAGACTCTATAACAGCCATTCCTCGTGGAGATTAGATTTCTTTGCAGCTTGCTTGTTGAAGCATTTGTAACCCCATTGGCAAAAAGAAAAAGCATTTTTATAGATTCATATGTCTAAATGCACTTTCAGGAGAAATAATAGAAAATAAGAAAACCCTTAGCCCCGTTTGGTAGTATGAATTTGGATTTGGCTAGATCCTAAATGAATTTATTTGAATTACCTTGGATTTGAAATACTCTATAATTAAAATCAATCATTTGGTTGTAGAAAGTATTTAAAATGACATAATCCAAAGTGTATTTGAAATATTAGAGGAGATGGATTTGAAATCTACAACCAACTTTGGAGATTTGAAATCCATCGTATTGCCAAACAAATTAATGAAATAACTTCAATCCAAATCCCTTCAATCAAACAGGACCTCGTGAAATTTATAACCATCTTTCACACGCTCTCCAACACAATCATTGCAAATATGAGAGGTAACAAATTCTGAAATATATTAGCACAGATCAACAATCTAATTGGGCGACCAAAAGTGAACAACTACTTCTATTATCTTTTATTGCCCTTCTTCATCACGGGTAGCTAAATGATTGTAGGTCCATAGTGGCCATGGCAAATATTGACATGATCTTTTTAACTTGTCTCTTTTGTCCCCGAACTCTAGGTCTCTGTTTAGATATAATAACTTCATCACATCAAATCAAATATAGATGGTGTTCTTTTGTGGATTTTACAGCATGGTTTTATTTACTTCCAAAACTATCAAGTCAAATAGTTATTTTTCTTTTTTTATATTATACTATAAATTTATTTTACATACATCCAAAATATCAGATTACCATCTATTTGTATCACATCAAACATATATTCAAATTCAAATTTTTACTATTCAAAAATCCAAACCAAAAAACTAAAACCCACAAACAAACATGCCCATAAATTTTTACTATTCCAAACATTTTCAGCAAATCCAAGAACATCTATCCATCTAACCTGAGCATAAGTAACTGCATAGATAATTCCGAGAATTTAAAGCAAATTGTAGTAGTAGGAATAGGAAATTGTGTTTACCCTATAGCCCGTGAGAAAGGAGTAGAAGGAACTCTCCTATCCCTGGGCTTCCTTATCTTCGCGGGAGTTGCCTCATCAACCACCAAATCACTTGAGGTCAAGGAGGCGCCGCTTTGAGGACTTACCGCCATGGAAACAATTGCATTGGAAGGATTGTCGATTTGAGTTCGTACCATCTCATCCACATCGCCCGTCTTCGGGGCCTCAAACGTCGACGCGGAAATGCCATCGCGCGACTCGTCCGTAAAGTAGACGACGTTTACAGTATCTTTATGAACATCACGGACACTGTCGAACTTTGGTGTCTTTTCGTCAAGACTACGGAGCTTTCCCTTCGTGAGTCCGGTGACGTCTGCGGCGGATTGTACGACGGCCTTTTTTAGGGTTTCAAAATTATAAACCTGCGAGCGGTTGATAGCTTCTTTAGCCACCAGAGATAACCCATTCACCAGTCTCGCTGTGTCCTTCATAGATACCATTGTACTTATTTCGTCGCGTTCAGATCAACGAAATCCACCAAATTCCAAGGGATTTCAATCAATCAGCTTAGGCATTTGATCAGGAGCTATCGCTTTCAAGACCTACCCGTCTCGATTTGGCGACGCCAAAAAGGAAGGCAATAAGAACCCTATTGTAAATGCTCCAAGACTACGTAAGTTCTTACTACTCCTCCACATGGAGGGGGCTCAAGGGAGAGAAAATTTTTATTATTATTGTATATATTATATTTAATATGAAAAAAATCAAATTATGTTTAATCTAATTAAAAATAATCAATTTTGATTACAATATAAAATATTAATAAGTCAAATTTATTCCAAATAATTTTAATCATTTTGGTCCATCGTTTAAAAATTATTTGAAAATATTGACATGGCTTGCTAATATATTATTGATCAGACACACGGTTAGGTATAATATTAACATGTTGTTTCGATACAATGAAAGTAGAGATGAAAATAGGTCAAGCCAGACCTTTTTAAAAGACTGGTCTGACTTACAAACCTATTTAAAAAAGTACATAATATTTTTATTTATTTATTTATATGCAAATTTAATTAGAAATAAAAACAAATAAATAAAATATAAACAAGTATTTAATATATACCAAAATTAAAAATTTCTATTTTTATAATAAAATTATAATTAAAATTATTTAATAAATATTATTATTAGATAAAAAGTTATTTTTAATATATAATTATAAAAAAATATTTTTATAAAAAGATAATAATATTACAAGATAGATCACATGCTGAAAATATTAATTCAGCATGATGAATTTCAATCCTAACCCTAAATCTTAGTAATAATTTTTGATTTTTTAATATCATTAATACAAAATTAAAGATTATGATTTGTTTCAGCATATGAGCATATGATCCAAGCCCATAATATTAAATGTCATTAACCACTAATGTCATTTATTATTATGCTATAAATATCCAATGCAATATAATGAAATACACAAGAAGAATAAGTGATTCCATCCAAAATTTATTCTCTGTTTTCTCTCTCTCAATTTATTTACATCTATATATATATATATATATATATACTCATACATACAGAAATCATTTACACACACTACTATCACCATTATATATATACATATTATTATACACTTACCAATATTATTATACTATTTACTATATAACACGTCATCAGCGCAAAGACTTTTGTCTATTTTATTTTTGGTTAAATGGATGTCAATCAAAATGATGCAAATATGTGTTTCATTGACAGTGCAGCGACACATACTATATTAAAACACGAAAAATATTTTTCCCATTTGAAAAGGGAAAGAATGAATGTCAATACAATAAGTGGCAGTACAAAATTAATTGAAGGCTCTGGAGAAACCATTATATTTCTCCTCGCGGGGACGAAAATTGTGATACAGTATGCACTGTTGGTCACAAAAGCTCGAAGAAATTTACTGAGCTTTCAGGACATTCGGAGAAATGGTTTTCACATTGAAACTATGAGTGATACCGATGATGAATTTTTATTGATCACCAATATCATTGATAAAAGGAAATACATCATTGAGAAATTACCCTCACTCTCTCACTCTCTACTTAGGTGTTGTTGAAACACACCTCACGGTAGATTAAAAGATTATCAATTTTCAAAATATAGCATGATCGCCTTGGGTATCCTGGCAGTATAATGATGAGGCGAATAATTGAGAATTCGCATGACCATTCATTAAAAGATCAAAAAGTGTTAAACTCAAATAAGTTAACCTGTGTTGCATGCACCTAAGGAAAATTGATAACCAGACCATCGCTAGCTAAAGTAGGTATTGAATCACCTATATTTTTAGAAAGAATACACGGGGATATATGTAGACCAATAGACCCACCGTGTGGGCTATTTAAATATTTTATGGTGTTTATTGATGCATGTACGAGATAGTTTCATGTCTGTTTATTATCTACTCGCAATATGACATTTGCGAGATTGCTTGCCCAAATTATTAAATTACGGGCACAATTCCCTGATAATCCAATTAAGACTATACGTCTGGATAATGCTGGTGAATATACATCGAATACATTTGATGATTATTGCATGTCGATTGGAATTAATGTAGAGCACCCAGTTGCTCATGTTCATACACAAAATGGTCTGGCAGAATCACTTATTAAAATATTGCAATTGATTTATAGACCATTATTGATGATGTCTATGTTGCCCGTTTCAGCTTGGGAGCATGCAATCTTACATGCAGGAACACTCATAAGAATGAGGTCGACAAGCTATCATAGTTATTCCCCTATGCAATTAGTATTTGGTCACGAACCAAATATATCTCATCTATGTATTTTTGGTTGTGTTGTTTATGTTCCTATTCCACCCCCTAAACGTACAAAAAGGGTCCTCAACATAGATTGGGCATTTATGTCGGATATGAATCGCCGTCAATTATAAAATATCTTGAACCTATGATGAATGATTTATTCACTGCAAGATTTGCAGGTTGTCATTTTGACGAATCATATTTTTCGACATTAGGGAGAGACATAAATGAACCAAAAAGGGATATTAATTGAAAAATCTCATTGAATTTTTGTGATCCTCGTACAAAGCAATGTGAACTAGAAGTTCAACGCATTATACATTTGTAAAATATTGCAAATCAGTTACCAGGTGCATTCAATGACTCGAGCAAAGTCACTCGATCATATATTCAAACTGCTAATACTTCGGCTAAAATAATTATTCCTAATGGACAAATTGGAAGTGCTAATGAATCAGCAACACGCTTAAAGCGTGGTAAACCACTTGGCTCCAAATACAAACATCCTCGACAGAAAAGAGGAATAAATAATGATAATCAGGAAAATATCATGAATGACATTGATAAACTTCAATCTAACGAGGAAGTCAACCTTGAAATAATTGCTCCAGAAGAGCACGATCTTGAAGAATATGATGAAATTATTGAAAACTCAATTAACTTTGTTACTTCAAGAAAATGTTGGAACCGTAAAGAGACAATTATTGATAATGCCTTCGCATACAGTTTAGCACTTGATATAATAGAATAAAATGAGGATCCTGAGCCAAAATCGGTTCATGAATGTCGGCAAAGAAATGACTGGTCAAAATGAAAAAATGCGATTCAATAAGAGCTTGACTCATTGAACAAAAGGGAGGTCATTGGACCAATTGTTCAAACACCATATGGTATAAAACTAGTTGGATACAAATGAGTATTTGTACGAAAAAGAAATGAACATAATAAAATTATGAGATATAAAGCCCATCTTGTGGCTCAGAGATTCTCACAAAGACCTGGAGTAGATTTTGATGAAACATACTCTCCAGTTGTTGATGGAATAACTTACCTTGTGAGCCTAACAGTGCGGGAAAAGCTCGAGATGCGTCTTTTAGACGTAGTTACTACATATCTTTATAGCTCATTGGATACTGATATTTATATGAAAGTTCCTGAGGGATTCAATATGCTTGAAGCATGCAAATTAAACCCAAGGGAATCATATTCCATCAAATTGAAAAGTCATTATATGGACTTAAACAATCATGGCGAATGTGGTATAACCGTCTTAGTGAATGTTTAATAAAATAAGGTTATACTAATTATCCAATATGCCCATTCGTCTTTATAAAGAAAAATGGATCAAATTTTGTCATTATTGCAATATATGTTGATGATCTCAATTTAATTGGAACTCCAAAAGAGATCCAAATTGCAATTGAATATCTAAATAAAGAATTTGAGATCAAAGACTCTGGAAAGACAAAATATTGTTTGGGATTACAAGTTGATCATGTTAATAATGGAATATTTATCTATCAATCCACATATACTCAAAAGGTATAAAATCAATTTTATATGGATAAATCTCACTCTCTAAGTACACTAATGGTGGTCATATCTCTTGATCCCAGTAAAGATCCATTTAGGCCAAGAGAAGAAAATGAATAAATACTTGGCCCCGAGATACCATATCTCAGCATTAATGTACCTTGCAAATTGTACCAGACCAAATATATCTTTTCCAGTAAATCTACTGGTCAGGTTTAGCGCATCCTCTACGATATTGGAACGGTATCAAACATATTTTTCGTTACCTTCAGGGGACTCATGACCTCGGTCTATTTTATTCGAGTGAATTTCGAAATAAATTAATTGGTTATGCTGATGCTGATTATCTGTCTAATTCACACAAAGCAAAATCTCAAACTGGCTATTTATTTACTTGTGGTGAAACCGCAATCTCTTGAAGATCTGCTAAACAGACGATAACAGCTACTTCTTCAAGCCATGCTGAGGTTTTAGCAATTCACGAAGTTAGTCATGAATGCGTTTGGTTGAGGTCCATGACTCACCATATTCATAAAAATTGTGGCTTGATTTTTAATGATGTATTACCTCCTACAATATTATTCAAAGACAATGCAACTTGTATAGCTCAGTTAAAAGAATGATATATTAAAGGCGATCAGACAAAGCACATATCTTCGAAGTTCTTTTTCACCCACGATCTTCAGAAAAGTTGTGAAATTAATGTGCAATAAATTTGATCGTCCGAAATTTTGCAGATTTATTTACGAAGGCGTTACCGACTGCAACATTCAACAAACTGGTGCAAGAAATTGAAATGCATCGGATAAAGACATCAAATAAAGTTCAAAACAGGGGAGCACATTAATACAAGAATGATATATTTTTTTTCCTTCACTATGATTTTTTTTCCCACATGATATTTTCATAGTAAGATTTTAACGAAATATATTCTTCGTATGAAAGCATGTAAGAGAGAGTGCTACGAAACGTACACGTAGTAATTAAGTAGATGCTATTTGGATGCTTTGACATACTATATACGTAGTAAGCATGATGACTTGTGGTATATTATTAACCACAAATATCATTTATTGTTATGCTATAAATACCCAATACAATATAATGAAATACACGACCAAATTTCATTCTCTGCTTTCTCTCTCTCGATTTATTTACATCCATATATATATATACACGCCTCATTTACACACACTACTATCACCATTATATATATTGTTATACACTCACCAATATTCTTATACTATTATATAATAATTGGAAATACTCTAATATCTAATTGCAATTTTTAAATTTTATTTATTTAATTTGTTTTTACATATAAAAATAAAAGGAAAAAAATGACCGACCAACATGACAGGAGAGAGGGCAGGAAGACCGGAGATCCGGTGCCCCGCTTATATTCATCCTTTGGGTGTTCGACTCTCCTACAGGACTACGGGTTGCTCTTCGAGTCAGAGCTTGGCAGTGTTATTACCAGAAAATGCATCGAGCACCAACTCCGGGCCTACCCACTGCCATCTCGGAGATGGAGCAACAGAACACGCAGCAGCACCAGCAGCGGGCTTCTTCTTCCTCATCTTCTCGTGCTTATCATTTCCACCCGGCTCGACCAGCCATTGTTGACCTTTTCAATCAATACTTGGGGGTACGTTTACCATACCTAGAAAAAAGAAAAGAATCAATAAAGGTACTTTTACAACGCCCTCTGTTTTGAACGTTTGTTTTGAATTTTTATTTTGGTGATGCCGCAGCGGACCGAGCGGCAGAAATCAGATGAATCAGCTAAAGAACCCCCGTGAGTTACAATCGTATTTTGTAATAGATTATTCTACATACATCAAACTGTACTATATCTTCTTTAACCGTCAATTTCCAAAGTTTTGTACTGTTTGCAAATGTTTTTTTTTTTTTTTTTTTACCGAGCATTATATACTGATCGAGAAAATTCGTACGTTTTATTTGTTATCTTGGATATGTTTACTGCTTGGCATTGGATTGCAATTTAACTGGTATGCGGGGTGATGGGTAAAATTAGTGCCTGGATGCTTGAAGATTGCTGTAAGGATGAGTGTCTCTACTTATTTAAATTCCCACCCCTTCTCCTGTCTTGACCACCTATCCTGTTTACAAGGATTAAGCAAAAGAATTACGCTCCTGGACTAAATAATGCAAATTACTAGTACCTGCTGAAAGAGACCAAAAATATTCTGAAGTTTTTAGATGTGTATCTCTGTTAGTTGAATCCTCAATGAAAACTATTATTGGTTTTAATGCAAATAAAATTCCTATGCGCAAGCCTGGGCACATTTGTTGATTTGTCTTCATTTGGAGCTGTCAAGTCAAACGATCCAAGCATGCCCCTTATCTGTGTTTAGCGGGACTTAAACTTGCTTTTTCTGCTTCCAGAGTTCACTTGTGCTAGTTCTAAGTTCTATGTTGGTGCCTTGCCCATTTACATGTAGTAAATGGAAAAATATTCTTGATGGCACCAACATGCATATGTAGAAACCAAAATTTGACTAGCAAGATCTGAAAGGAAATCTGTTGATACAAAAGAGAAGAACAATTCTAATAAGAAAGCCATTTTTACAGTAGACTCATACATCCTAACAGCTAACTGTTTCATTTCCTGTGAATTAGGATCACAACACCTAGTGCCTAAGACTTAGTAAAAGATAATTAAGTAACTAAAATAACTCAGAATTCAACCACTTATTGACTCGATCAACTGCACACACAGAGCTAAAGCAATAAAGTTCTTTCAATAATTATAAAAGTAATTTTCTTCTGTTTCTGTATGTATTGGATAACAGGACTCTGGTGGGAATCTATTTTACATTCTTCATGTAATCAATTTCATGATATAGCATACGAGTAAACTGTTCTAATGGATAACGATCAACCAAATGGCAGGAATAAAGCTCAGAAACGGGTTACCGCTATTAATAGAGAACTTCCTCCCCCTAATGAGCAGTTCCTCTTTGATTTCGAGCAGATACAACGCCAGTTTCTCGTATGTTGTTGATATCAATTTTCTATTATTTTTGTTTTAAGATCCATTCTTTGTTTGTTATACCTTTGCTTTGTGATTTTATAATGTGTTTTTTTCCAGGACCAGGAACAACTACGGGCTGTAACAGAGTCTGTCTTAATTTCTATGGTTATACAATGCTGTGGTCATGCTCCAAGGGCTGAGTTTTTACTATTTGCACTGGGTCGTTTGTACAATATAGGAAACATAAATTGGGACACTTTTCTACCAGCTCTTCTGTCCTCAGTTTCTTCTGCTGAGACACCAATTGGTCAGGGTAGTCAAGCAGTTGCTGCTGTAGCTTCTGCAACATCTTCACAATCAGGAGTTCTTGTGCATTCAAGTGCAGTCACTAATTCGACTCATTACCAATCATCAAACCCTGCATCCCCTTTGGCTTCAGTTCATGGTATTGGATCTCCGGCAATGTCAACAGCTGATCCATCATCTTGTGCTGTATTGTCTCCCATGAAGTCCAATGATGTAACTTGCACTGGTCAGCAGCTGGAAAGGATCAGCATATCAGCCAGAGAAAATGCTATAAGCAGTCTCCGTCAACTATCTTGCAAGATCATTTTGATTGGCCTAGATTCTAATCTGAAGCCAGTTACACATGCAGATATCTTTAACCACATGCTGAATTGGCTTGTTAATTGGGATCAAAAGCAGCACGGGCTTGATGAATTTGATAGTGCAAAATTTTGGAAGCCTGATAAAGCCTTGATTGAATGGTTGCACAATTGTCTAAATGTGATTTGGTCGTTAGTTGAGGATGGTAAATGCCGTGTACCATTTTATGAGCTAATACGCAGTGGTTTGCCATTTATTGAAAATATACCAGATGATGAGGCATTGTTTACCCTTATCTTGGAGATTCATAGGAGACGAGATATGATGGCAACACACATGCAAATGTTAGATCAACACCTTCACAGCCCTACTTTTGGAACCCCTAGACTCTTGCCTCAGGCTACTACCAACATATCTGGTGAAACTGTTACTAACATGAGATATTCGCCAATTACATATCCAAGTGTTCTTGGAGAACCTTTGCACGGGGAGGTAATGCCATTCTCTGTTGAGTTTCTAGGAGCTGTTATCTTCCCAATTTATAAACATAATTTATTAACTAGAAAATCAAATATGAGTGCATGCAAATTGGAGTATCACTTAAGAAACGAAGTGAAATTTATTTTGTTGTAGGAAGAGCCTAGAAACTTGCATTAGAGTTCCACAATCCCATAGAATCTTCTAGAAGGCAGAAGAGTGTAGATAGTTGTTATATACTGTTAGATTTTATGTTTCTTCATCTTCCATGACTGAAATGGCTACTGTTGATAGGGCTCTCCTTTCATTTGTATTCCATTAAAACACCTTTGATTGCTTCAGTTCACTAGTGAATGCCAGAAGATCGCCTAATATTTCTTCAGTACTTCATACTGGCCTATAAGTTTTAATGTTAGACATAAATATTGCTGAACTTAAACTTTGGCATTGCAGCTTGGAGGATTCTAGACTAATCTTATTGCTAACTGGAAGCAGTGCAACACAGGCCAAAAAAATTTACTTAGGGTGTGTTTGTTTGGGGGTTTGGATTTTGGATTGGAATTTGAATAGTAAAAATTTTGAATTTGAATAGTTGTATGATGTGATATAAATAGGGTTTGATGTGATGTTTTGAATGTAAAATTGATTTTTAGTATAATATAAAAAATGAAAAATAGGTGTTTGATTTGATGTTTTTGGGGGGAAAAAATTGGATGAATAGTGGAAATCCTCCAAAATCCTTCAAACAAACACACCCTTAAAAAAATGTGTAGGCAAGGCGCTACTTATGTTATATACACAAACACTTGGATAATTGTATCTTATGACAGTGTTGTACAGAAAGGTGTACTAGCCTATTGATCTCCCCTGAGGATTAAATTAAAGTTTATTATCAATAATTTTTTTCACTAATATAGTTGTATAGGTTTGTTAATGTCCCAGGGCTTGTTTAGTTGTGTTTTTAGAGTAGTAAAATTTTTAATTGAAAATTGTTTGATATGATATAAAAGTAAGTATATAATTTGATATTTTGAATGAAAAATAAATTTAGAATGTGATGTTTTTTAGAGTAGAAAAAATAGGCTAATGTAACCAAGTGTAGCGAAAACAACCAAACAAACCCCTAGTTTTTACAAAACCTGAAACTTGAAGTAAACATCCGGACTTCTTGAGGTTGTGTAGGTGTATGGATTGGTCAACTTCTCTATTTGTGTTCAGGAACTTGCAATATGCATTCAAAGAGGAAGTCTCGACTGGGAGAGAGCTCTGCGATGCTTGAGGCATGGTTTCCGTAACACACCATCTCCTGATTGGTGGAGGCGTGTGCTTCTTTTGGCACCTTGCCATAGGCTTCATGCACAGGGACCTACTCCTGGTGCAGTTTTCACATCTGAAATGATTAGTGAGGCAACTATTGATAGAATCGTGGAATTATTGAAGCTGACAAATTCAGGTAAGTTATTATTTTAAATTTCTCTATTACTATTTTTTTTTACCACAACCTTTTGCATACATCAAAATGAATACTCAAAACTCCAAACCTCGTAAAAAGTTTGTGATTTCCTTACTTCGAAATGTACTTCAAATCTATATTTCTTTGAATAATCTTGTGTTGAGTGTGTAGCTGACCAGGTGAGGAAGTAACTAGTTGCATTTGATAACCCTGTGTTCAAGTTAGTTGACTAAATTATGGGTTCCTCACTTAGTATTTGAATTTAATATATGAGTTCAATAAAGAATGGTATGATGCCTTGTTCAAATCTTCATTGTTATGCAATTATGGATTAGTATCTTGTGTAAAATGTAACCTGAACTGTGTCTACATGTGACAGGTCTTGTTGTTGAAGAATATATAAATATAAATGGATATTTAGAGGCCTAACTAAAAGCTTAAAATTTTTATTTGAAATGATCATCTATATGTTCTAAGAGTTTGTGGCTGATGAATGACTACTATCATTGATCAATAAACATTCTCACTAAGCTTAAAAAATTCAATCGATGACTCTCGATAGTAATCACAATGGTTTTTTTTAGTAAAATCATGATTTATATCTTGCTCTTCTAGTACTATAGAAGAGGATTATGAGGCTTGATTGCCTGGGCTATGCAAATGTCTAGACTTCCTTTTTTTTTTTTTTTTTTTTTCAGTGAGGCGTGCAATAAATTATTTATCTCATCTAAAAGTTTGGAATGGAAAATTTTCGCTACCTTGAGCTACCCAAATTAAAGCTTTCTTTGAACTGCTTGGATAGTACAAGAACACTATTGAAATATTAGTTGTTTCTTCTATGTTGTAGTTGAAAATATGTAGGGAGTATGAAGCCATAATTAGATGAAGAAGAAGTTTGGTATCAAACCAGTTCACAGCAGGGGCAATGTTACATGTATGGGAAATTTGAATTATATGTCCTTGCACATTTGGTACTTGACAATATCTCAATGCCTACAATTACATGGTAGCTATTGTTATTTATTTCTAGGCAAAAATGTCTATATATCTTCCATATGAAATATAACAGCTTTATTGTTATATATATGTGTTATGTGTATATATATATATATCTTAAGAAGAGAATTCCTGTATGTGATCTATTGAGAATATAATATCAAACTGCCTTTATGTTATTTTTTTGTTCATTCTCCAATCTCCAATGTGTTTATTGTATTTGTTAATGTGCAGAGATGAACTGCTGGCAGGAGTGGCTTATATTTTCTGATGTGTTCTTTTTCCTCATGAAACATGGATGCATTGATTTTGTTGATTTTGTTGACAAGCTAGTTTCTCGACTCCAAGACACCGATCAACATATCCTTAGAACAAATCATGTTACATGGTTACTTGCTCAAGTTATCCGTGTAGAGCTTGTAATGAATGCACTAAACACGGACCCAAGAAAGGTAGAATTTGATATTTGTGGTGTTTCTCATCATTTTACATATCCTTTATGCTGTTTTATCAATTCAGAATTATTGAATTCTATGGCTTTAGAACTCTTTATTTTATTTGTGTTAAATTTATTTTTATGTTTTGTTCTGAAGTAATAACTGATGACACTGGTTGGACCAGAATACTATGGGGGGGGGGGGGGGGGGGATTTTTTAAAATTTAAAAATAATTTTTTTTATAAAATAAAATACTTTTTTTTTTATTATTAAAAAATAATAAATTATGTAGCATCAATTATGACTATATATTGTAACTATTCATATATGTATCTTTTGAAATAAAAAAATAGTACAATTTCTCATTAAAAACAAAAAAAAAAAAAATCAACATTTGATGTTTTTATTATTATTATTTTATTTATTTCAAATATTTTATATATATTATATAAATATATATATTTTAAATAAATAAAAATAACCCAAAAAAATAGGGGTGGGCTGGGGCAAGGCCCTTAATACATCTGCCACCGACTGATGATTTGATTATGAAAACAATCTGTTTTTAGGTGGAGACAACCAGAAAGATCCTCTCATTCCATAAGGAAGACAGAAGCTCTGATCCTAATAACCCCCAAAATATCTTACTAGACTTCATTAGTAGTTGTCAGAACTTGCGAATTTGGTCACTAAATACTTCAACCAGAGAATATTTGAATAATGAGCAGCTTCAAAAGGGAAAGCAGATAGATGAATGGTGGAGGCAAGCCAGCAAAGGTAGTTGCCTGTTCATGCAATTCTGAGTTAATGAGCTTAAGGGTTGTGTACCCCAAATTTATGCGATTAACACAATTAAATGATTTCTGTCACTGAATCAAGACATATTACTAAGGAAATTAAAATTATATAAATAGCCCTTTTAGATTATAGCTGTAAGCCTGTAGTTACTAACTGATGTTAGGTGTTACCAATTAAATGCTGTAAAATAGTTCTATCAAATAATTTTGTTTGTTAGATTCCTATTTGGACTAAATTACTCTGTTTCCACCTGCTTGGGTAATTATATAAATTTCACTTTACTGACATGTATTCAATATATAAGTGTCTGAATAATAAAATTTTGAATTTGAATAGTTGTTTGATGTGATATAAATAGGAATTGATGTGATGTTTGAATGTAAAAATAATTTTTAATGTAATATAAAAGTAAAAAATATGTATTTGATTTGATGTTTTTGGGGTAAAAAAATTTATGAATAGTAGAAATAAAAACAAATAATCCAAACAAACACACTCTAATTTCTTTCTCTGTGCAGTCTCTCTGTCCAACCCTGATGGGAACATAATGAATAGGATAAGAACAATCAAATGGGATCTAATAGCTTGCAGACTCCTTTCTTCCATTATGAAACTATGATCTTCCTTATCCTAATGATCTCACGTTTATTATCCATACTAAACCCTACTAATTAAAAATAAAATGAGTTCACTCAATACATAACTCAAAAAAAGATAAGCCTATCTAAGATATAACAAAAACTAGTTAAGAAGACTAATGGAAGCCTAAACCCGTGAACAACACGCCTAAGCCTATCCCCGTCGTCCATATACAAGTACCGGCCAAGACTCCTCTTCCTTTTTCATTTCAACCTTGTGCTCTCCTCACTCTGCTCTCTATCAAACCCATTAGAACTATAACTATAATATGAATCCTTTTTTTTTTCTTTTCTTTTTGGATTTTGTCAACTCTATGCATACTTATTTTATTCCCGCCCCTTTTTGAAGATACTGTTTATGTTATTCTTATTCTAGCTTCAAATTTTAGGTGAACATATCATGGACTATATGAATATGGATGAGAGGTCAGTTGGGATGTTTTGGGTTGTCTCGTACACCATGGCGCAGCCAGCGTGTGAAACAGTTATGAGCTGGTTAGCCTCTGGTGGAGTAACAGAGATACTACCTGGATCAAATCTACAATCAAGTGAGAGATTGATGGTGATGCAGGAAGTTAGCCCATTGCCAATATCTTTGTTATCTGGGTTCTCAATAAATTTATGCTTGAAATTGGGGTATCATATGGAAGATTCTTTGTTTTCTGGACAGGTAAGGATCACCTTATATTTTCTTCCCAACATGTTTTTGTAATCAATATACTTATAAATTTCTTTTTGGATGGAATTCTTTGTGATTTTTGTGGATCGTATTTCGTTAATGGTTATTGGCTCCTCCTCATAGCAGATATTTGCATTGTGAATCTATGACCATACTTTATTACTTTGACTATGCTACATTCTAAAACAGATTGTTCCTAGCATTGCAATGGTTGAAACATATGCTCGACTGCTGCTAATTGCTCCTCATGCAATGTTCCGCTCGCTTTTAACGGTATTTTTTATTTTTTCTTTCTCTTTGTCGTATTTTGTGTTATTTCTGGTCAAGCCTTATATGGTGGTGCCTTTCACGATATATTTGAATGCTCATTTTTTATAAGATATATTTTTGAATATATATCTAGATAAGTGCTGTTCGAATTTTGATTTATGTAAATATACATGTGTATTTCAATCGATAAATAAATGTGAAATCTTACATTTAATCAAAGTGTGAAGTTCAAATTTCTATGGCCATCCCTTTGTGATAAAGTATTCCATGATAAAGAATGACTATGCATTTGATAGCTTATGGTGATGAATTTTCACATAAATAAATATACTATGATACATTCCAGTTAATTTAAGTTGTTAGATGACCTAGGTTTCTAATGTTGTGGATCATCAGGATTCAGGAGCAATGGCAAAGGAGCAATGACCCCTTGGAATAAACTAACACTAAGAACATAATATTCTTGTATCTCGTATGAGGGAAATCAAATTGATAAGCCTCTAATGTAGAGCCTAAGTATTGATCTCAGATTTATGTTAGATTAATAAAACATGTACTCACTTTTTCATAGATGGTTCAGATCTTGTGCTGAATGAGTTGTGTTCAGATGTGCTGAAAGAAAATGATTATTTTGCTCAATGAAGTAGCATGGTCAATCAATAAAATATTGTTCCAACAAAGACAACAAGAATATTTAGTTTAATCACCATGCAATTTTATCGAGCATCATGCTCATTTTATGAAAAAAGTCATTAGTGTAGAAAAAGACATGCATTCATTCAATGTATGATCCAATTCCTTTTTTAAACACTAGCATTTGTGTGGAAATAAAGGAATGAGATATGTATACTGTGAAAAAAAGGCATGTAGTACGTATATTTTAGGGAATGGGTTATTTTGTGATTAGTTTGCTAAAAATAGAATAGGTAGGTACTGATTGATTCCTTCTTTTTTACTGATTTGATTCCCTTAAATTATAGGATTTGATTATCTATGTTAGCAAGAGTAGTGTGAATGAATATAAGCTTTGTTTAGTTTATCCTAATACAATAAAGAAGGATTATTTCTCATTTTGTCATGGTATCGGAGTTACACAGCTAGGATTCCTGTTTTACAGCCTTACAGTTTTCTTTTCGGTGTTTTTTCCGCTCCACCCTTCAATGCTGTGAAATTGACAATCGAGCCGTCTATGCTGCTTTGCATTTCTCTCTAAACTGTGTTTGTTCTCCTGATTCAAGTCTTTAATGTTCCTGCTACCAAAGATGTCCTTACCTACTGAATATGCCACCAACTCAAACACCACAGCACAATCTGAGGAGATCATCTGTCCTCAAGTATCAAGTGAACTTCAAGCTGTTTGGGGTGCATATGGACTTAATGAAAGGAGTTATCTAGATTGGTATGTACCATATTGAAGGGCAAACGAAAGATCTAGATCCAACAGGGTATGGACCAAGTAGAGAAGTCCCTGCATTTGAATCGTGGGATGAGAAAGATTCCATGATTATGCCTGGCTGTGGATGAACCCAGAAATTAGTGACGCATGCATGTTCCTATCCACCGAAAGGAGATTTGGGGGACTATCCAACAAACCTGTTCAAAGGCACATACACTGCTCAATTTTTTTTTTTTTTTATGTCATAGTGAACTGCTCAATTTTTTTTATGTCGAAGTGAAGACAACAAGCGCAAAGCAAGGAAGAAAGATGGTAACTGAGTACGGTAACCAATTGAAGTCTTTGTGGCTAGAACTTGATCACTACAATGTTATAAGGGTAAATGGGCGGAGGATTCAACCGTACTTAAAGAGTTTATTGAGCATGACACGATTTATGATTTTTCAGTGGGACTTAATCCAGAAATTGATAAGTTAGGATCCAAAATCATGGGAGATGGAAAATGCCATGCCTTAATGAAGTTATTTTGCTAATTCGAATGAAGAAAGTAGAAAAGGGATAATGCTTGATTCCGCTAGTACTAATTGGGCCCAGCCATGGTGGTAAGAAACAACAAATATGCTAACCAATAGAACAAGAAAGTATCTTTAGATATTGGACAGTCAGGTCAAACTGGAACACAAAACCGTAACAATTTATGGTGCCTATAGTCTTAAAAATCTAGACATCCAAGACTGTGTTAGAAACTTCATGACAAGCCACCCAGTCGAGAGTAAGGACCGATGGGGTAGTCACAGGTATAGGGGCAGGTCAATGATGCAGCTTTAGAGAATGCAATGCAATCTCATGAATTTCATGGCTTCACCAAGGTAGACATTGTTTGGTTGAAATCTTTGGTAGTCTGGAGAATCCCTCGGGTACATTTTCTCTAGTATATTCAGGTACATCTCAATCATTCATTGGACCAAATGCCTTGGATAAGACATTTACTTATTCATGGGCTGTGGATTCTGTTGCAACTGACACATGACTCATCACCCACCTTCTTCCTTACCTACTCCCCTTGTCCAAGCAAGCAACAGAATAATAGCTAGCAAAAATGGTTCCCTTATAACCGTAGCAGTAATCAGAGATGTTAAACTAAGCCACTCACTTGTCTTGAAGAATGGCCTTCATGATCCTACTCTATCCACAAACCTGATTTTTATTTGAAAACTCACTCATGAATCATGATTCAAACTATAATGTAACTTTTCGCGAGGTTTCTTGTGTATTTCATGACGTGGGTTCTAAAGGAAAATTGGACATGCTAGTGAATGGGACGACCTCTATCACCTTAAAACACCAAACTAAAAAATTGTTAGCAAGAACAACTCATCTCATTCTCTCTTTTTTTTCCAAAGCATCCTTATCCAATAAAGAAACAATCTGGTTTCATTACAATTGTCTAGGTCATCCTTTATTTCATGTCATTCAACTTTTGTTTCCACATGTATTCAAAGGTCTTGCTATTGAGAGCTTTTCATTGTGTGGTTTGTGAATTTGCGAAGCATAAGTGTGTATCTTTTCTTAGTGAATTCATCAGAGGTGTTTCATGAGAGTGATGTCATTTAATTTGTTTGAAGGCTTATAGTATTTTGCAAGTCTTTGTACTTCGATGTTTTGGTATTTTAAAGTTGTTCATATAGTTGCCATTCTGTGCTATGGTAGATTGACACCGTTCTTGTTTGTTTTCTCTTGAGATATATTTGTTAGCTTTAGCACAATCAATTTTGATTAAATCCTTTACATGGGTCCTCAGAGATTTTTTGTTTCCACATTTTTATTTTATTTAAAAATGTGTAAACTATAAAGTCGGTCTATGTATTTTTTACTTTAGCTAATATCTCCATTAGGTGTACAATGTGTGTGCTCTTGTGATTGACCTCTCTTCTTTTATGTTCTATTGGTACAAGCGCTTACTAGCTTTTCTCAAAACTCATTTGCAGCAAGTAACCCAGAGGAATCAATCTCCCATAAGCAAACCAGCTTCTTTAATCTTGGTCTTTGAAATTCTAAATTACCGTTTGCTTTCACTCTACAGGTGAGGAATACCTTTCTCTTGGTTACCTTGGATGTTGAATATCTTAAATAGCTGAAATATTTAGTTGTATTGTTTGGCTGTGAAGTAGTGCCACAATAAAGGAACAGCCTCTGGCCCCAATAAGTCATTGGGTGGTGAGGACATGTGGAAATGTGTTTCAATGTGCTTGATTTTTCTTGTTATGATCAGCCAATTTAGCTGTATGTATAGGGCAGTGTAATTTGCTGCGCAATGATGGATATACCTTGTGCTGTAATTTTGAGCTATTAAACATAGTATGTTAGTATTGTCCTTTTCTCTATTAGCTTATTGGTTTTGTAACACTACAGCCTTGGCAAATTTTATTACCACCTAAAATGTTTGCAGATATACAATAAAATTTGTCCAGAGACTAACAAGAAAACATGTAAATGAGAAGAGGCATGTAACATGTTATACCTTCATTTTGTTAACTACAATTAGGTGGTGTCTATGTTTTTTGAAGCTAAACAGACTATTTTATTTCCATGCTTGGTTTGATATTAAACAGAAATTTGTATATTTAAAACTTATTTCTGAATCTGAACATGCAATTAATGTGGTTATAAATTTTTTTTCCCCTTAAATTCTCTATGCAATCTTAAATCATTTAGCAGAGAAAAAGCTTTTGTTATCAGAGTTGAGCTTGAATCACCCTCCATTTAACCTTCCTTGTCAATCCTAGAGTTAATTGTGCAGTCAAAAGTGGTGATCAGTTAGTTTTGATGTCAATTCCTTTTCAAGGTACCAAGGGAAGAGTAAAGGTTTAATTCATGATGTCACAAAAATTCTTGCTACACTGAAAGGGAAACGAGGAGATCATCGTTCCTTCCGATTAGCTGAAAACTTGTGCTTGAATCTTATCCTGTCAATGAGGGAGTTTTTTTATGTGAAGAGGGATGGGAAGGTGGGCAACACTTAATCACTTTTCTTTTTAGATTGCTTTGTCATATTGATATATAGTAATTAGTTTTGTCTGGCTGATAAACAACTCAGGGTCCAACTGAGTTTACTGAGACTTTAAATCGGATAACAGTTACTACTCTTTCCATCATCATCAAAACTCGTGGCATTGCGGAGGTTGAACACATGCTGTACCTTCAAACGATGTTAGAACAGATTTTGGCTGCCAGTCAACATGCATGGTCTGAAAGGACTCTCCGTCATTTCCCTTCTATGTTACGGGACGCTATGGCTGGTCGGATAGATAAAAGGGGCTTAGCTATTCAAGCATGGCAGCAGGTACATCTCTTCCTCATCCCCCTGTCCCACACATGCACATGAAAAATATGCCAGGCCCCAATGATTTCATTTCACGTTATACTTGCCTACAAACACCACTGTAATTTGAAAGAGGTACCTAACCACCTCCTGAAGAGTAAAAAAATCTTACATCGATTCCTCTCCGTTTGCCAATATGTTCTTACAAAAGTTCTAGTAACTAAACAAGCAATATAAAGGACATAATGCCTTTTTCTGATTTTTATTTTATCTTTGTCCAAGAGGGGTTGGGTGGATTGGGGTTGATGTGAAGATGCAGAACTACAAATAGTTTCTAGTATATCGCAGCATCGAACATAAACATGTATCCTGTGTATGATAAACTTGGGAGTTGGGATTGTGAGTCACAGAAATGGACTTTCTTTCCTGGATGAAAATTTGATACAACCCTAAAACAGGGCATTAGACTTCACCCATGGTGCATGATCTATGAATTTGTGGTGATGACTTGAGCCAAATGTATAAATCCTTTATCTGTTGATATATGATTTCCATTTTGAGATCTAGTTGAGGCAGTACATGAGACATAACAGGCCACTTCAAAATATGACTTTTTTTTTAGTCAAAATTGTGAACTTATGATTTTCATGTTTGTTCGCATGATAAAGTCATGAATATCAAAATTGAAGTTGGGTCTTCATCTTGGATGGTCATTAGGATTTTAGCTTCCAATGGGCTGTGATAAAAAGATAATTATCTGGTGGACTAAGGCTACATGATTAATAACTTGTATGTGTTGTCTTCTTTGTGCTTTCTTATTCTTTTGTTAGATATCTTTAGCTTTTGTTTTAAGCAGGTTATGGAAATAAGTTTTAATATTCTTTTCCAGTTAATTTAGTACAGTTATATGATTTTACAGCTCTGTCGATTTCATGGTATAACCAGGTTTTCTCTGCAGACCCTAGATTGACTCATCCATGTGTTTTTGCAACCACTCCTGACCATTGTTTTTTTATGTTCCAATTAGATGACCCTCATAATTTGGTCACTGCAAACTATGCCATGTTCCACAATCAGAACATGCTAATCCTCATGTGCTGTTACATGGGAGTGCATGACTCGAAATCTTCAACCTAACATTTTCCCTGGAGTTCAGCCTTATTGTATACCTCATCGGCTTTACGATTTGTAGGTTATGTACTATCTAATTTTTGTGTGTTCCTATGGCTGACTTTAACAAGGATAACTCTAAAAGACGAGTCTCATCCTCTGCGATTGGTAATTTGTCAATGCATATCATAAAAACCCAAAAAAATCAAAGCTTTGAACCATGTATTGTCTGCAGATCTCCATTTGTGATTCACAGAGCAGGGCCTATTAGATCACTTGTTTGATATCCATACTGCATAGAGATGAAGTTGGGCCAAAATTGATTTTCAACTGTGTGTTCTGTTTTGAAGTCTTCTGAGCCTGACCTATAATTATTTCCTACTTACCAAACACTTCAATCTTCTTACCCTACTTGGATCTAAATTGCTTATATATGTATACCGCAATTACATTATCTATACTGGATTGTATTGTCTCCTCTTGTGAAATTGAATCTTCTTGACAAAAGTTTCATGTTCTAATGCTTGACACCAGTACTACTCAAGAGCATGAATGTGAGAAGTTACTTCATCGTTACAGATTTGATCTACCTCAGTCAAAGATTTTGATCATTTTCAGTATCAAATGATAGGTCATTCATAGGCTTCTCCATTAGAATGTGAAATTGTGAGCTTTTATAGAATATTGAACTTGTGTGGTTTCTTATATCACTCAACACGATGTCTCACAGTTAGAATACAATGATAGGTTGAAGATTAAACTAGCTAAGTACGATGACATTGTTTCTTAGATTACGTATCGAAGGTAAACATAAACAGTTAAGCTAAGGCATTATACAAATCCAAAACATTCATTTTTCAATGTCAATTAGGCAAAGTGTATTTTGCACATAATGTTTTGAGTCTTCTCTTGGTTGTGGAAGATTTTAGGAATAATTCCCTTTTCCATTATGAAAATCTCAAATTTTAATAAATTATTATAAGAAGCGTGCTGAAAAGAAGAAGCACAGTAACTGCTGAAAGGCCGGAAACATTGTTATGAGTAGGGTTGAGTCATCAGCAGGGGCTTTACTTCAAATTCTTAAAAGGATGACATATATTTTGGTGCATTTAATTTATTGAAGGTAGATATTTAGAAGTGTTATTTCCATGACTCTGAAGAGACTTTCTATACTTAGGAGAAAACTGCACAGAATATTGATATTGTTTTCTGAAAAAATCTACATAATTTTTAAAATAAATACGGATGGTGGTTGGCAGGCAGAAACAACTGTGATTAATCAATGCACCCAGCTTCTTTCTACATCTGCTGATCCAACATACGTCATGACTTACATTAATCACAGTTTCCCTCAACATCGCCAATATCTTTGTGCCGGTGTTTGGATATTGATGTATGGCCATCCTGAGAGCATAAACAGTTTGCATCTTGTAAGTATCACAATAACACAAACTATGCATACAAATTATTTCCTCAAGCTTTTTCACTTATTTAGTCTGCAATCTGTGTCATTGCACTATGTGCTCTTTCATGTGACTGAATGATTAATCGCAGGGCCGTGTTTTGAGAGAATTTTCCCCTGAAGAAGTTACTGATAATATATACACAATGGTGGATGTCCTACTACATCACTTCAACTTGGAACTGCAACGTGGCCGTTCCTTGCAGGTGCATTCTCTTTCACACATTTCATTTTTTATATTCTGTTTATTGTCATAATTGGCTGCAACCTGGTATGTTTCTGAAATAGTTGAAGAATTCAAATTCTCTGTGATCAGGATCTTATGCTGAAAGCATGTGCTAATATCACCTTCTTTGTTTGGACTCATGAGCTTCTGCCCTTAGATATTTTACTCTTAGCACTTATCGACCGTGACGATGATCCTCAAGCTCTGCGAATTGTGGTATGTTTGCTACCCTATGGTTATGCTATACACTTTTTACCTATTATTTTATTTTATTGTTTGGGTAAATATTTACTTTTGTTAGATTAGTATAATCTAGATAGATTCATATCTTAATATAGTTAGTATTATTATTTTTTGTTTGTTAGATTGATTCTCTTCTATACTTATATATAGATATGTATTCTCTACTTTTTTTTTTTTCTTTTTTTTTTCTATAAATAATAATATACTTTTCTCTAAATTTCTATGTGGCATGAGAGCCTATTAGGGTTTATTGTTCTGCTGCTGCCCAAGATCCTAATTTGGATTAAATCTTAGTTTGGCAAAAACTTTAACTTTTCTCCAGCGCCCGTTCGAACAACCTTTTCATCCAACCACCACCATAATCAAGATTTCTTGTGAACCGGCGTTCCCATCCATAGTAAAAAAGCTTCCAAAGGTTAGAAAATAAACATATAATCAAATATGTTAGCAGAAGCGGAATTTAAACAAATCTCCAGCCATTGCTAAAAATTAAATTTGTTCTCAATACTCTCTTCTTCAAGCAAACGGTAGAATTAGAACCGTGGGAAGATGGTGTTGCCAGGAACCCTTGGGAGAATGTTGCCAAACTTTGGAACCCGTGAAGATGTTGCCGGATCCTGGAACCCTAGGATGTTGTCAAACTCTGGCTCTCAAATAGCGATGGTGTATTCTAATTTTCTGAGAGTAGGTTTAGTAACCCGTATGTGAGAGTATTTATAATTAAAAAGAAAAACCGTCCATCACGATGGACTTAATGGGAGAAAAGTGGGCCACAATTTAAGGTTAGTTTAATTATATAAGATAATTAAAAAATAATCAAAATTCAAATATGATTAAATAATTAATTAAACTAACATTCTCCCACTTGGCCCACTCAAACCATCACAACATAACGAGAAACTTTACATACGAATCATGGCGGTAGGTCACACCCATTTGAACCAGAAATTTCTTTGGTTATGACCAATTTTCAGCCCTTTTCTGATGTCTTCCGCTGACACACGCTACACCGGCACGTGCTACCCACCTCACATGTCAGATGTTGTCATTGTCTGCCGTCGTACTGTTGTCGCTTCTAATAGAATTTTTCTATGTGGCATTACCTCTATCTCTACCTATGGTTGACTTTTCTAAGTCAAGTGGTATTAGACACCTCTGTATGCGTTGTACCTATTGTCGCAAGATGGGTCATACTTAAGAATGTTGTTATAGCTTTCATGGACGCCCTCATACGACAAATGTAGTTACTGTTTTATTGATTAAGTGTTCGTCATCTATCTAATTCCATTTCTATAATTTGTGCCAATTATGATGTATTCCTTCAGTTCTAGGTATCCAATCAGTCATCCGCCACAAGTTTTACCACCTCTTTAGATGCCCAGATTCTTTTTGTCGTTTTTTCTCAATTTAGATTGGGTTTATGAGACTCTAGTGCAACTGATCATGTGTCGTAATTCCTCTTTATTTTCCACATTCCATTGGCCAAACTCATTGACCCATGTTACTTTTGGTAATGATAATAAAGCATATCCTCAAGTTATTGGTAGAGCATCATCTAGCTTACTTCTTTACTTTACCTTTTATGTACCCCAAAGTTCATTTAAACTCATATGCTACTCGAATTATTAAAGATTTAGATTGTTCCATCTTAGTAACAAACAATTATCTTGTTATTTAAGATTGCAGCATGGGGCATAAGATTGGTTCCGAACATAGTTTCATAGGCTATATTGCCTAAATGACTCCTTCAGCCTATCCTCTACCCTTGCTACTGCTTCTATTGAGTCTCTTGAATTGTTCTGCCAACGACTAAGTCATCCCTATTATCCGTCTTTGTTATCATGTAAGTTATGCGAGCTTGGAAGTAATCTTGTACAATTTCCCCAAACGTAGAAATAATCAGGCATCTAAGCCCTTCACATTAGTTCACTCTAATATTTGAGGTCTCCATCGTGCTATTTCGACTCTTGACTTTCAATATTTTGTTACTTCTATTGATGATTTTATTCGGTGTACTTGGGTTTATTTAGTGAAAAATCAATTTGAATTACTTATTATATTCAAAAGTTTTTTGCTGAAATTCGTACACAAGTTCATCTCTAATAAGATTTTGAAGAATGATATAAATTTCTCATTCATTTAGTGATTTTGTGTCGTATTGGGTATTATTTATCGTCGCCTGGCCTTTCAACCCCCAATAAAATGAAGTGCTCAGCACATGAATTGTCATTTACTAGAAATAACTTGTAAGATATTCATACATTATAATGTTCTTTTTCAGTTTTGGGTTGATGATATCCTTACAACATATTTTCTTATTAATCGCCTTCCGTTCACTGTCTTAGTTCGTCAAATTCCTATCACTTGTCTTTAGCCTAATGTGTCTTTATATACCTTACCCGTTGTGTGCCTTATGTGTCTGTATATTCCTTACCACTTTGTGTGTTTGGTTGTATATGTTTTGTTTATGACTATTCTTATAGTTTGGATAAATTATGTCATTAATCAATCAAATGTGTTTTCCTTGGATACTATTGAGGTTGGATACTATTGAGGTTCAAAAGGGTTATTAGTGTTATTTTCCTTTCACTCATTGATATTATTTTAGCATGGATGTTACATTTTCTGAGTTGTCACCATATTTTACGGTGTATCTTTCTTCTCACCTCCATCCTCAATATATATGGCTCCTAGACCTTTCCTTCCAAACTTCTCCTTCAGGTTTATAGTCGAGATACATGGCATCGGAAAAAATATACTTACCTCACCGTAACCTACACTTATTAATGACTCAGCTTTTGTTCCGTCACCTTTTTCAGTTGCGGCTCAACCATCACTAGTTGCCCTGCGTTGAAGGTTTTCGGTCCACTCGTAATCCCAATCTTATTTACCATTTTTCTTAGCTATCTCATTCCAAGTGAAGGGTTGCATCTGCATTAGATTCTATGTGTATTCCCACTCTTGGCATGAGGCTTTGGACTATTCAGGGCGTTGTCAAACTATAGTAGAGGAAGTATTTACTTTGCATGCTAACAATATTTGGAAGCTGGTCTCCGATCAGAATATATATAGATACATATTTGGAAGCTGGTTTTGTTGCTGCCAATAAAGATATTTGTTGCTTGTTGATGGGTTTATTTAGTCAAGGTTGGCTCTTATGGTCGTATTGACCGTCTCAAAGAATAGCTTGTCGTGAACGGCATTACTCAGGTGTATAAGGATGACTATAAGAAAACTCTCTTGTCACCAAGTTGTCTTCTATTTGTCTTTTTCTCTCCATGATAGTTATGCGTAGTTGGCCTCTGCTTAAAAATGTTTTCTTACGCAATAAACTTCAAGAGAAGGTGTATATAGAGCAAAGAAGTCTGATCTCATTTGTTGTCTCCGTTGCTCACTCTATGGCTTTAAACAATCCCTGCGGGCAGGGTTATGACTTAGTCATTCAAAAATTCGGAATGACACAATGCTCATCTAATCATACCATATTCTATAAGCATAATTCAGAGAGAAGTTACATTTACTTGATTTTCTATTTTTATTATAGTCATTGCCGAGGAAAATATGGATGGCATCACCAGGTCAAGAAGCACTTGCACAACTATTTCAGATTAAGGATTTGGGACCACTACGGTGTATCTTAAGAGTTGAGATTTCCAAATCACGATCCCTCCAAAATTGTTTGTTTGGATTGAGTGGTCAGGATCTTCACTCGATAGGCATTCTACCTTGGGCTATTATGTGTTTGTTGAAGATAATTTGATATCTTGGAAAGTAAGACATAAGATTTGGTTGTTTAGTACCCAAGATGAGTATCGTGCTATGACCTTAACCACGACATATGAGCTTTTCTGAGTTAAATAATTACATTGTGAACTCAAGTTCTATGAGGTGATGTAGATGAAATTGTAATGTGATAACCAAACAATACTGTACATTGCATCAAATCCGGTATTTTATGAACGAACTAATTATATTGAAGTAGATTGTCACTTCATCCGGTATGGACACCAGATATGTGTCTTCAAATGACCAATTTGCAAAGATTTAACAAAAGACCTTAGAGGTTCTAGATCCGAGTTTATATATAACAAGCTTGGATCGTATGATTTGTAAGCTCCAACTTGAAGGGAGTGTTAAATTAGTATAATCTAAATAGATTCATATCTTGATATAGTTAGGATTATTAGGTTTTGTTTGTTAGATTGATTCTCTTCTATACCTATATATATATATATGTGTGTGTATGTGTATTCTCAACTCTTTTTTTTTTTAATAAAAATAATATACTTTCCCCAAAATTTCTACAACTTTCTATTCTTGGTTACATGAGAGATACAATCCATAGGTTTGGATGTGTTCTGTGAGAAGTGAATGTCTCTGTCGTTTGATTTTTTATTTTTATTTTTCATGTTCTATATAATAGATAAATATACTAGACAGCAAGGAGCTTCAGCAAAAAGTGAAATCGTATCTCATAAACCGTGGTCAACCTGAACATTGGCTTTTTACTGGAACTTTCAAGCGGCAAGAATTGCAAAAGGCACTTGGAAATCATTTATCGTGGAAGGAAAGGTGATATATTTTCAAAAACACAATTAGTTGGTGGATAGGTCAAGTTCCCATGTTTTTAGTTGTAGAAACTAAAAATGAGATTTAATTAAATGTTTTTGCACCAGATATTGTTCAATACTTGCATGCATTAGCTGGACACAATAGATCTATCCTCAACATCTTTTTTGTTAAATTTGAATTTCATTGCATGCTTTACATGGTGTTTGTTGGTTCTGAGTGTGACTGTTCTCTGCTATCCTTATAGCATATGCTCACCATTCATTCAGGAAAGCTTTATGTATGCTTAAGTATTGTTTTAGATCTTTATCTTTTTGTTATTGCATTATACATTTCCTGGATATATCAAGTCGTTTACCTTATGACCAACTTTACATATGTTATCATTTGTTTATGCATGTATAGTATTTTATAATTTATCTTCGATTACTTTTTTTTCTTCATTTCCTACACATGTTAACCATTTACCCTTGTTAACAAATCCGACATTGGACAGTTGATACCATAGTAGTTTTGAGAATGTAATGTTATTTATTGTTAGAAAATGGCATTGCATATTTTTAACAAGAACTTTATTATTGACACACATAATGCTGCTAGGTGCCCAACATTTTTTGATGATATTGCTGCAAGATTGCTTCCAGTTATTCCCCTGATCCTATATAGGCTTATCGAGAATGATGCTTTTGATGCTGCTGACAGAATTATCCAAGTTTATTCCACCTTCCTTCATTACTATCCTTTGAATTTTACTTTTGTGCGAGATATACTTGCCTATTTCTATGGCCATCTTCCAGGGAAACTTATTCATCGGATCTTGAGCGTGTTGGATGTGAAAAAGGTGGTGATTGGTTTTCAATCTTGAAATTTCCCTATAATATTTCTCTTAATTAATTATTTTTTCTGGTGTCTTTTGTTGTACATAGATTCCATTTTCTGAGTCTTTCCCTCAGCATATCAATATATCTAATGCTACAAGTTGTCCGCTGGATTACTTCGCAACTCTCCTATTGGGCCTGGTGAATCATGTAATTCCTCCGCTCAACTCTTCTAAAAACGGACAAGTGGGAGAAAATTCCAACAGTTCTGTACGAGTACCACATAACAAGGTTCACACAACGTCACAGGCTACTCCAGTAGCTCCTGAAGGACAGAAGCCATTCTATCAAATCCAGGATCCTGGAACATATACACAGCTGATTCTTGAAACAGCCGTGATTGAAATCCTCTCTCTTCCTGTAACTGCATCACAGATTATATCATCTCTTGTTCAAATTGTTGTGCACATACAACCAACTCTGGTTCAATCTGTCAATGGATTACATCCCACTGGTGTTGGTCAAAGTTCTGTCTTGCCAACTTCTCCATCTGGAGGAAGCACTGATTCTTTAGGTGCAACCAGAACTCCTATTTCAGGATTAAGTACGTCTAGCTTTGTTTGGCGAAGTGGTTACACTTGCCAGCAATTATCCTGCTTGTTAATCCAGGCATGTGGTCTACTTTTAGCTCAGCTACCCCCTGAGTTTCATGTTCAGTTCTATATAGAAGCATCGCGGGTAATAAAAGAGAGTTGGTGGCTGTCTGATGGTAAAAGGTCAGTAGGTGAACTTGAGTCATCTGTTTGCTATGCGTTGTTAGATCCAACATGGGCTGCCCAGGACAACACCTCTACAGCCATTGGTATGAATCTTTCATATTTCAGTCATGAACTGCATAATTTGTTACTGCATTATCTCCAACTACTTTCGTTGTAAATTTATGTAGTAGTAGTATCTGCTGCTGGTTCTTCTGAGTTTCTTTGCAACATATATACTTCAGCGCATTGAAGTGGTCTCTTCCTATATAGTATGTGATGTTTCCTTACTAAGGCTAAAAAGTTTGCTTATGTTGTTTTATCCAGGTAATGTGGTGGCCTTGCTGCATTCTTTCTTCAGCAACCTTCCTCTTGAGTGGCTGGAGGGATCGCTTCTTATCATTAAGCATCTCAAACCTGTGACATCAATTGCAGGATTGAGAATAGCTTTCCGTATTATGGGTCCTTTGCTTCCACGACTGGCCAATGCGCACACCCTGTTCAGTAAGGTATGTTAGTGTTCGCTTTAATTAGTTTTGTTAGAACTAGGACAGACAGTCGTTAAAGTTGACCCTGTCCCAACTCAAGTCTGTCTGAAATTGGATGATTTTGATAACAAGAACAGGTTTTGGTTTTGAAAACCACTTGGGTCTAGGGTGGGGTATGAGCCAGGGTCCTATAAGAACCTTGCCTCCACCTTGGGACCACTTTTTTAGGTCTAGAAATTTGTGTTTACTTAGAAGTGTTCTCTTGTAAAACCAATTAACAAAATGAAAAGTTATCTATATAATGAAAATGCACGACCAGAAATGCCAGGTTGTGTGAAATGACTATGGTGGATGAGTGTTTATTTGTTTTGATGATATATTCCAGAAATGTCCCCTTGGGTAAATCTGAAGTCCGGCGTCAATGTTGTGTTCTTTTTTTTAATCTATGATTTCTTTTGACATAATCATTTTCAACATTGTCTATCAGATATTGTCGGGGCTATTAAGTGTCATGGCAGATGTATTTGGAAAGAACGTGCAGTCACAGGCTCCTGTAGAAGCATCTGAGATATCTGATATTATAGACTTTCTGTAAGTTATTGTTTCAATATGAGTAGAGATGCATTCGGTCCAGCGTTAGCTTATTTTTTGGTCATTTTATCTTCTTTAGGCATCATATTGTTCATTATGAAGGGCAAGGAGGACCTGTACAACCAAGCAGCAAACCAAGAGCAGAAATCCTAGCTCTTATTGGCAGAGCAGCTGAAAATTTACGCCCAGATGTACAGCATCTTCTTACTCACTTAAAAAATGATGTTAACTGTTCAGTATATACAACCGTTAATTCTAAATCCTAAACCCTATCAAATGAAGTGTTGATGTGATGAGTAATGATAATTCATAGGTTGAGATGTTTTAATATAGTAATTTTTTATCAACAAAGTTAATTTTTCATAGGTTGAGATGTTTTAATATAATAATTTATTGTCAAGACAGTTAATTTTTATGATTTTAGGAAACTGTAGAGATCTTATTATAGTTTTGATGAGCGTCAATACGCACAGTGCCTCATTGTACACATCTATAGTTATTAGTGAGTCGAAATTAATATAATTTTAAGTATTTGTGTTCACGTTGTATTTATTCGTTAAGTAATTATATTATTCGAGCTTCTATTTGTTGTGTAAAATATGTTTTATAGTGCAAGTGTTTGATCTCTATAATATATAATTTACACACGTTATCTTCCGTACAAGTGATTATGTTATTTAAATTTTTAAAAATTAAATTGACAAAATTAAATAAATGAATAAGCAATATTGATTAGTAAACCCTTATAATATATAAAACAAAAAATAATATATTAGTCAAACTACACACATAAGTAAATATGACCGTCCATGACGTTTTAGGTCATCTTGCCTAGTTGCGCATTTTCAGACTGGCTTTACCATGAGTAAACTCTTGGTTTTTACAGTTCCACATTGAGTTTGAAATAATGTTGATATAGGCCGGCCCATCCCATCCCATCCAACAAAAGCTCGACGCTAGCAACTCTCCTACTCCTACACGGGAAACTTGGCTCATGTCTTTGTGATGCCTCATGTTACGTCAAAAATGTTGGACGATTTCCTTGACGAACTTGTTCGATAGAGAAAGAGTTGGTATAAATGTAGGGAGGCGAGCCTCCTTTGTTGCAGAAGAGATGGAGCCTCGAACTGGCTTATGTTGTCCATGGCGAGGGACAAAATGAACTTATGGTTATGTAATCATTATTTCATATGATCGAAAATTCCTTGCATCTTTGATTAATGTGTGTTGGATAATCGGTTATTTACATAATCTATTAATTGGTGAGCGAAATAAATAAATATTAATTATTTTTGTATATAAAATTTGGTTAATATTTTGGCTAGACAAATTGAATTGTGTAGTCCTAACTTAAACCCGGATATACTATCTAATTCACACTGTTATCAGAATAAAATATTATCTGTTGCATGAATTTTCAAACAAAAAGTTTAGAATTAAAATAAATTACAATAATTTCAAACTAAAAAGTTTAAAATTAGAATAAACTTTCACAAAAAAGAAAAATTTGTTATTATAATCAATTATGACAGCTTCAAAGGGAATGTTTAAAATTAGAATAAATTAAAGTCCGGATTGATTCCTGCCATTGCCTATATAAAGTGTTTCATCTTCATTCTAAACACACATTCACTCTTTCTCTTCTAACTTTTCGGCAACTGCTTAACTAAATTCCTCTCTCGTTTTGTTCACGAAGTTCCGTCACCAAGCTCCGATGATCTGAGGTGCCACTTTTATCGGAGACGAAAATGATTTTATCTTTAAGTTAGAATGTCGTCCACCAAAGGCGTGTATCTAACTTCCGTAAATTTACTTCTCGCAATACCCCTGTTTAACTAACAATGTGAACTCTAAATATATGACGAACTTGAATAAGAATGAAAGAAAAGAATAGGAATAAGAATGAAAGAAAAGAATAGGGGATGCTTTGTATGATCTTCTTTGCTTACTTCTCACCGCTTGTTTGGGACGATATCAACGAGTTCAAAGACGCATTTCGAGTAGCCCCAATCATTGCCGTACCAGGCGATGACCTTCACCATGTCGTCGCCCAAGACCATGGTCAGGGAGGAGTTGACAGTCGATGACACATCGTTGCACCGGAAATCCACAAAGACGAGGGGCTCATCCATCATATACACTCTTTGTCTGCAGCCTCTCCGAATGCGGCGTTGACTTCGTCCGCGAATGTCTTCTTCTCGACCTGCATGATGAGGTCCACGACGAAGACATTGGGTGTAGGGACACGGAGGGCAATCCTTGCCTTTTGAGCTGCGGGAGGACGAGCGTCACTGCCTTGGCTGCACTGGTGGATGTTGGCACTATGTCTATGTTGGGCACTGCTGCACGTGCGTGCGCGTCTCAGGTCATGAAGCCTCTGGTCACCGGTGTACGACTGAGTCGTGGTCATTGTCCCTTTCATAATGCATGCGCTCAATGTACACTCGTTAGTAAATATTGTAAATCAATCATATCAACGTTGTGCACTTTGTTATGGCTTTCTTTATGTACACGGTCGTGTATGTTTGCGTAGTCTATTGGTGACTGCGTGACATGGCCGTGTTCGTATGACACTGTCAATATTTTCCATTAGTTTATATTAGAAAGAAATTTGATATTGTATTAAAATCGATGATTTGTTGTTTTGATGGGATCCATCTCTATTTTATCCCTTAAAAATTTCTACCCTCCTACTTTAGCCACCGCCATTCACTCATCTCTTCTTCTTTCTTTCTTCTTCTTCTTCTTCCTCGAGGTGAGCAAGTCTACTTCATCTGCTCTTTGCCCTTTTCTGATTGATTAATATTCCCATCCGAAGGTTAGAAGTTGATCAGGTCTCAGTTTATTCTTATTTGTTATTTTTATGTCTTAAATAACTTATTTGGTTTCATTCTGTTCCGTTTCTTGACTGTTAGACACGGTTTATTTGGTTCTTTGTAAAGCTATATATTACACTAGTCACGGTGTATTCTATTGTGTTGTGTTTTTCCAAGGGTCTCCTTTATCAATATATGTTCTTTAGTTGTCGGAAATTAATATAGGATCGATAGGTGTTCAATTTTGAATGTTATCGTGGTATTATTATTCTAGATTTGGTGGGTGTGTAATTGGGTGAATGTGGATGTAAATGTGAGCAAGCAAATACTAGCGGAGCTGTTCTTATTCCCATAACAATTTACCATATGTTGTCCAAAAGAAAGCAACTAGGGTTGAGAATTTATGTCCATAAAATTGTATATATATATATATATACAAGCAAGTCCAGTGGTCATGAATCTATTGAACACCACCACCCACCATGACATAGTTCGAAACTACAAGTGGCCGCGCTAACCCAGCATGGTTGTGCAGGCAGCGTGTTGTATTCACAGCCCTTCTTCATGCCTGAAAGAATGCGAAAGGATATGCAAGAGCACCACAGCCATCAAAAACATCTATATCGTCACGATTGTGGTGTGCGGCTGCGCTCGAGTAGCTCTTCCCAATCAACAAAACGCTCCAGCAACTCTGTTTCCTTGAGGACTAAGCAGTCATCATCTTTTCCAAACCAGTCATAACGCTGCTTAGCTATGTAGTCATAAACGGAATCCCTTAGAGGAGCAGGGATCGCCAATAAAGCGCCTAATGCAGAATAAGGCCTGGGCAAATATGACAACACCCTTAACGCAGCTGCAGACAAGCATACCAGGAACCATTACAATCCTTTTGATGCAGTCGCTTGCTGTTGGAATCATTTACGGACACCAAGTAAGGACCAAGGAAGAACTTACCTGCAGATCCTTGGTGGTGTGAGCCAGGACCCTCAACAAACAGGAAGCGGCGGAGAACATCTTCCCGCTCCAATCCACAAATCTTCAGATATGGCTCAGCTGCTTTTGACTGAACACAACAGAACTTGATTTTTCTATCAGTATCAGCCTTAATTATCCACTTCACTCCTACATGTTTGAAAGACACATTAGAAGGAAAGTGGTAACACATTATATATCTCTGGGTTTGGATAGAGGTTAAGTAGACTTATTATATTACTCATGTTGGTCCACCTTTATTTTCAAAAGTTCACTCAAAAGAACTCTAGAACTAATCGTGCATGGCAAAAGGAGTTATGGGACCTTTCTGCGATTATATAGTCAAACTTCCGAGGCCACAATTATCTACTATACTGGAAATCTCTAGGGAGGAGTACCAATTTTGAAAAGCATGACTATATCAGACAACGTATTGTTCCAACAACATTAAACCAGGAACAAACTCAGAGTCACCCGTTTCAAATTCGAGTAGCAAGGGAAAAGAAAGTAATCCAAACATTTCTACACCACAAATCATTACAATACTAGGATTCCTCAGTAGTATCAATTAGAAAAAGAGAGTTGCAAGCGGCCAGGAACCTCTCATAAGTCATGTCACCATCCCTTCTCATATTCGAGGAGAAACAGTTATCTTGTCATGTTAGATGCATTAACAAAATCAGTGGATTACACTACAAAAAAATAAAAACTCAGTTTGTTCCATGCGAGTTAAACTAGTTACTCGGGTATTTTATTGACTACCTTTAAGCTGTACAGCCCTTTGTTTAATGTTATTCCATTCTTCCCAAAAGGGCGTCAATGGATGCACATCAAGCTATTCATAGCTATTTTCAGCAATCTTGAAATGCGTGGACTCCAGGCATAGTACATACCATCCATTTTTGTTCAATTCTAGTAAAGATCTAAACAATGATGGAATCAACTAAAGATCGAAGATCTGTTATTACGGAAATCTGCGCTAGTTTCATAGATGCCCCTTGAAGTTCCCAAATACGCAATTACATCAGTAGTTACACCACACGCAAATACCATAACGCAAGTTCCTTGCCTGCTAGAATCGCCCTGAATTATCAAGAAATGCAATTTGATTTTGTTCCCAAATATTGCATTGAATGTATTTGCGAATTGGCTAAAAATCCAAATGCCTACAGGTAGTTTGCAATGGCTTCTGAAGAATTTTTTTTTTCTTTATCAATCCAATATGAAAAGCGCTCCGCATATAGAATAATACCAACACGATGCCAATTGCAACTCGGATGGATTAAAAGAGTACAAATTACCAGTGTGGCAGAGATGGCAAACGCCGTCGTACACGACGACGCGCCGTTGAAGAAGATTTGGAACCAACCCAACCTCGGTAGCAGCTGCGGCGGCGGAATAGTCAAGCACCACCTGATCAGCCGCAGCAAACTGGTCCCGCACAGGAGATGGAATTGAATAGAAGTAGCGACGATGAATCGACGGGGAGATCGAATTCGGGTTCATCCAAAGCAAGGCCGTCAGCGCCGATCCCATCCGTCGCCTCAGCTCTGTCATTTTCATTTTCACCTCCGATGCACAAGTGTTCAACCAAATTCTGATCCTCGCGTTTCATATTTCGATTAGCGCACACACGGCTTGTCAAAGTCCGCATCAATAACTAGTTATCTATCTAGAAACAAACCGCCACGGTGTCTATTAAAATGAAATATTGCATTTTCTAATCTTTTACTTTTATTTACGGGTGACTTTCTAGCTTTTAGAGTTTATTAAATCTTTTAAATTACAAAATAGTGTAACAAATGTCTCATTTTTTTTTGGTTAATTTTATATGAACGACAAAATTTATATATGTGTGTTTCGATCTCGACCTAGATTCTATCCGACTTGAGCCATGTTCGACCGAACCTGTACCGACTCAGCTTGTCTGATTTTTTGCTTTTCTTCTTAAATTAGAAGCGATCTACTCTATTCCTCATTCTAGATTTGAATAACTCCAAATATATTCCGTCACTCTTGGTACTCATACTTACCTTTTCTATACCGTTCGAGTCCACCTAGTAGTCGATAAGGTGAGGTTGTTTTCTTGGAATCTATCCATCTAGCTCTCTTTTATAAATATGGATTTGGAGTTTTTGGGAGAGAGGGGACCAAACGAGTTCTATATTCACTTCCGTGAGCGAACCACAAACTTACTACAATGCCAAATTCTTTTCTCTTTTCTCGGTTGACTATAGATTATTGTTCTGTCATTTTATACTGTATGTGCGAGGATTACTCTAGAGTTCTTTGGGTTACTGTATGCTAAAAAACACCACAATCGACACATTCGTAGGTCATCTCGTAGGACGACTTGAAATTGACGAATGAGTAGTTGCGATATAAGCCTACCTGATTAATTAAGTAATTTTCTTTCAGTGCTTTATATATTATTTTGTTTTATACTCTTAACCAATTTTAACCGCAAATCTGTGCATATCACTCCGACGGCTTCAGGATGATCAAGAAGTACAACACGTACAAATAAAAAATTTGAATAATATATTTGGAATTTTTATTTTGGAATTTTTATTTATATATTGAGATCAGTTACAAAAATATAAATAAATAAACAAAACCTAGATAAAGCTCACAATGTTACATTATGAATGTGTTAATTTCTTCCAAGTTCTTTTTCCTTCCACTTAGTCCGATGTTGACGAAGCACTCCGTAAAAATCATCACCGTTAACCTCTCTGCAAAAACCATTGGCGTCACTGGAAGTATCACTCGCCGCTGAAATCTCAAATTCTGCTCGCAATGTCGAAAAGATCTTTCAAAAACGGATTTCAAAGAAGTAAGATAAAATTTATATTTTTAAAAAAATCAATATTTTAGTTTTGTATGTTTGAGTTGGCGGTGTGCTCGAATCTATTCCTTTTGTGTCTCGATTGGATTTGTACAAACTTTCATGCTGCCCATTTCATTCATTTGACATCGAATCACACCTTGGAGTACAATATGAATTATTTGATATATTTAAAATTATAAATTATCTTATAGAGTATAAAAGCATTTTTATTTGTATTTCTATATGTTTATATTTATAGTAAAATGATTGGGGTGTGAGGTAAACAAAGTTACTTATTTAACTAATAGTTACGGATTACAAATAAATTATACCAATTATAATATGGCAATTGATTAAAAATAAAAACTTATCCAATTAAGTAATTTTTTTGAAATAAAGTTTGCGTATTAATATTAATAATTAAATTAATATATACACTTATTCATCAACTTACAAAAATCAATCATCTAAATATAAAATACTATTTTATAATAACAATATGATTATTCATGTCTAACATAATATATATATATTTACATCAAAAAATACACAATGAACAAAAAGTTTCACCACAAAAAAAAAATAAATAAATAAATAAAATTATAATTTCAACCAAAGATTGAAAAGCAAAAAAATAAAAAATATATACACCACAAAAAAAAAATTATAATTTCAACAAAAGATTGAAAAGCAAAAAAATAAAAAATATATACACCACAAAAAAAAAATTATAATTTCAACAAAAGATTGAAAAGCAAAAAAATAAAAAATATATACTCTCCATCTTGTACAAATATTATACTATTAATATTACAAAACACCAATGGAAATATTTTTGTTATTTTTCTTAATTTATGTTACATTTTTAATATAATAATTAATATTCGAAAATAAATGAAACTTTAGAGATAGAAGTAGTATATCTAAATAAATCATTGTTAATACATCAAGGGTGAAAAATAATTCTCAATATAAAAATGCCAAAATCTAAATAATACCTATTTATTGTTAATACATCTAGGGTAAAAAATAATTTTCAATATAACAAAACTGAAATTTAAATAATACCTATTTATTTAAAATATAAAAATGTTTAGTGGGCATAGTTCGGCTGGGAAAGCATCAGACCGACGGTTGCGTGGCAAAACAGTAATAAATAAGCAAGAGAGAACCTTCCATACGGTTGGGTATTAGATCCGAAGTCTGGAAAATAAAATAAAAAAACATAAAAATAAAAATTTTAAAAAAAAATGATATAAATTGACATAACATTTTCAATAAAAATAAGTTTTAATTTAATGATTTTAAAGAAGAAAATGATCATGACTGGGCAAACAGGTAGCAAGAATCAATATATTATAGTTCAAAAGCAAAACAAAAAGACATCCTAAATAATACTAGTACTAATAATAAAAGACAAAAGCAGGCAGCAGGTACCCAACCAATCACCAGAAACAAAGCGAAATAACTCGGAAAATAATGTATGATCGGCGGCCGCGGCGGCAGCACCATCACCACCGCACGTTAAGATGATCACTTGGCGCCAAAATTTGCGGGGCTTCCTCAATCTAAAATAGTAATTTACTGGATCACGGCAAAATCAGCCGAAATAATGGGAAGGAAAATGCTGCTGTACACGTTAAATGTATGTAACAGGGCAGGGAAGGATAAAAAAAGCTCATACCCCCATATTTGTTAATCCAGTCTGCGTCTAGAACACCACGGTCAGCTCCTTCTCATTCATCTCGTACACATGGTCGCTGGCATCCGAGACTGCGCTCTGCACGCACATTTTTTACATGTTTAACCTTAGCTTAGCAGCTATACTATAGTCTATACATAAATACACCAAGGAAGGAAAAGCTCGAGCAAGCAAGCAAGCAACCATAGGGGTAGTAGGCAGCGAGTGCTTTGCAAAATCAAATATACAAGTGGGCTGCTGCTGCTGAATAACCTGACCTGTCCCAGTTTGGTGAGAAAGTTATTCATAAGATTTAATGATGCCAGCCGGACGTCCTCGTTAGCCTTCAGTGCTTGAGCGATTGCAAAAGCCCCTTCATCCTGTTCGTGCAACATACAATGGACAATGGTAGTATTTATTACTTACGGAGTTTTAGATGGCACCGTGAGCACATACATACATACATACATACATAACAAAGTATTAAGCCATCTCAGATTAAATGAGTATATTACTCTTATTTCGTTGAACCCAAGGTTAAGTGACGTCAAGGCTTCATTAACCACCTTCAAGCTGCGAGCAAGGCAGATGGCACCCTACAAATAACAAAGTATTAAGCCATATCAGATTAAATGAGTTCAATGCACTGCTGACTGAAATTATCATGCGAAATAACACCAACTTCGTCTCTTAGTCCATTGGCTCGCAGATCTAGGCTTGAGATCGTACTATTATATTTCAGCATATCTGCAATATGTTCGGCTCCGTTCGCCCCTATCTGTGAAAATATCACACGCGCATTGAAGCTCACAGTTAGAATTGCAACGCCCTATCCTGCCCCCCCAAATTGTACTTTGTTTGTTTCTTACCTGACACCAACCAAGCATGAGATCTTTTATATTTCCGTGAAATTTAAGAACATCTGCTAAAGCCTTTGCACCATCAGGCCCGATGGGATTGTAACCCAGTTCCAACTGGAAAGAAGGGAGATAGACATAAGTATGGCCTGGGATGCAATCATCAGAACAAAACTACATGATCAAGAGAAGCAATGGGTGAACTCTCACAGCTGTGATGACAGAATTATCTTTCAGAACCCGTGCAATCTCGCTGATGCCCTTGGCATGAATGTCATTTCCCCCCTGCAATCATAACCGACAGTTACTTCAAAAGTATCATAAAATCACCTTCAAAATGGATATCAGTTACCAAACCACATGTGTGAATGACAAATTTTCTCTGCTTACTAAGTCGATATTTGTAACTGATCGATTCTGCTTCAGAGCCTCAGCTACTTTTTCAGCTCCCTGAGACAAATATAATAGTAAGAGGTCACTACATGTTAATGCTTTGGAATTAGAAGGGGTGCAAAATCACAATGCCTTCTGGTACCATAATTGTAACGTCTACCTCATCTCTGATATCATTCATGTAAAGACTAATCCACACCAAGCTCTTGCTTTTCTTGATATACTCAGCAACATGAAAGGCTCCTTTTGCACTAATCGAATTGTTTCCAAGATCCAACGCAGTAAGCTTCCCTGCATCAAATAGGGTGTTGGATGCCCAGCACAGCGGAGGGAAAGGTATAGCAACTGAGAAAGTGTTCAAAGCAGAATAGACCTTTCTGAGAAGACAAGCCTGACATCAGAGCAATAACCCCTTCGTCACCTATAGAGTTCCCTTGCAAATAAAGTTCCTAGGCAATAATACATCAGCACAAATTGCATTCAGTCAAATATCTAGAAATGGACATGAAAAAAATAAAAAAATTTGTTGAAATGATGTTGAACATTGAAAAAAGTACATTATGGGCTCGCCAAAGTCCATATGAAATAAGCTGTAAGATAGAAAATTCTCCCTTCTTTTGTTACACGAAAATCAGAAACTAGGAGACCGTGACAAATCTCAACATGTGATTTCAATGAAATTCTTTCTTACAACAGATTTGCACAAATTACATTGCCATATCCCACTACATCAACCTTGGTGACTTCTCGATTGTAGTAGGATAGATGTAATTATATTGTACAAACAATTAAAGGTAAATGCTAACTGATAATGATGTTTAAATGAAATATTAAAATCAAAAGGGGAGAAAAAACAGCTGGAAGGATACCCTCAAGGATTTATTTCCCTCCAGGCCTTTTGCAAGTGCAGCTGCACCAAGGGGGCCACCATAATTGCCACTGAAACATCAGCATACAAATGCCACTAATATGAAGACCAGTAATGTTCCAAAACTACAATTATATATTCATAAAAATCAAAAGATAAAAACCGCCAAGCAAAAGATTATAAACAATCAAGTTATCAGTTTCCTTCGATGTTTGCATAAAAGCAGTTATGTTGGCAGCTAGTACTTACTTGAGGTATACTGACAGTACACTTCTATTCTCAAGCAATGCTCCAGCAAGGCCAGAAAATCCCTACCTCCATTTCCAAATTAACAACAAAACAGAGTTAGTTATCACATTTAATGCATTTACACAACCTATGCTAACAAAGTACTAAACAAAATATGATTCATACAGTGTAGTCAATCATATTGTTATTAAGCTCAATGATACGTATGTTTGAATTCTTCTTCAACAACTCAGCAATAGCTTTTGCTCCCTGAATAGCAAGAAACAACAATAACAAATGAAGCCCCTTACCAAGGTCTTAATATTACCATGACCTGCATATAGAGCAATTGCTGTAACTCAACAATAACATTTTCTTAATGCTTAAAGTAATCTAACCTCATCTCCAAATGCACTACTACTAAGCTGAAGCTTCTGAATACCAGTATTGTTCACCAGAATGTCACATAAACACTGCAGGAAATTTTTAAAATTTTTATGAAAACCATTAAGAATGAACATAAATAATCGTGAGAGAGAGTGAATCTAAACAACAGTTAAAACTATTGATTGAGAAGAGCAGCCTCTAATTATAGCTGATTTGTTTGGTTGTATTTTTGGTGTTTAATAGTCAAATTTTGAACTCAAGTGTTTGCTGTGATATAGATATACATGTGGTGTGATGATTTGAATAAACCACAAAATTTGGAAGTAATGATTAAATGAGAACTGTGTATGATATAATGTTCTTTTTTTTCGGAGAAAAGGAAGTGGGGGGGGGGGGGAAGAAGGTTACTGTTGTGCAAGATTGTGAAGAAACACATAATGAAATAAAACTACAGTTTATAAATCACTAAATTCAGGAATCAGACAGAATTTCATATTGTCATTGTCAAGATTGAAATGTTCACGAACTCTAATACCGCCTATCATGCAAATATAATACTGAATCACAGAATCTGATTGATGAATATCAACAGTCACTGGGAATATGTATGTTGACATTAGGGGTATGTTTGTTTGGGGGTTTGGATTTTGGATTAGGATTTGAATAGTAAAAAAACTTGAATTAGAATAGTTGTATGATGTGATATAAATAAGTATTAATGTGATATTTTGAATGTAAAATTGATTTTTAGTATAATATAAAAAATGAAAAATAGGCGTTTGATTTGATGTTTTTTGGGGGAAAATTTTGTGTGAATAGTGGATTTCGCCCAAAATCCTTCAAACAAACACATTCAGTAGCATCCCTATAAAATGTATCTAACAATATATTAGTACAGTTATACCTTGACTCCCTCATCCCCAATTGAATTTCCCGATAAGTTAAGAGATCTCAGCGCAGCATTTGACTGCAAAATGCCATCAAAAGCCTTTATTCCCTCAGCTGTAATCCCATTAGCAGCAAAGCTCACTTCTTCAGCAGTCTGAAAATGGTAAAGCGTGTAGTAGAAAAAACAGATATCATTAGTTTAAATGTAGGGTTCTAAATAGCGATGTTCAAGCAACTTCTCACCTGATTATATGCCAAGCTCTCAGCAAGGAAAAATAGGCCTTCATCTCCAAAGTTGCGACCTATCAACGCCTTTCATTATTAGATCTCTCAGTAACAGCAAGGATAAAGAAAAGAGGTCTTTAGATTTTTACGTGAACTAGGCATTTCAAGATGGAAAATATATATATATATATACATAATACTTACAAACTAAAGTAGAAAGATCAATTACCTGACATGTCAATATTATTGAATGTCCTAAGCTCTTTGGCAAAATCATTCAGCCTCAATTTTGACTCCCTCTCAACCTTTGCACCAAAGGATGATAACAGATTCGTCCCAGGCGCAAAAGCCCACTTCACTCCCGGAGCAGGTTTATTGTTGTCTTCAAGAGGCTTAGAAGATTCTGGCACAAGAATTTTCTCCACCAATTTCCATAAAACTGTCAGCTGGAAAGACATCATTAGTTACCAATTGCGATATATCCATTTTTATAGAAATTATTCACAATATCTAGGCAGTCAATGGCCATCAATAAGCTTTCATATTAAGTAACATAGCAGCACATGAAATCCATCCTCTCTGATTTGGGCATCCCCAGCCCAAGTGAAATGGGAAATTTGAGAAAAGGAACAACCAAAAGAAACATAGTTGAAACTTTTCAATTATTGCAAAATAGTAACACAGAAGTCTATAACACAAGAAAACTTATTATTAAGAGATACCTTGTTACTATTTGGTAAGTTGAATGAATGTTGGGTGCTAAACTGAATACTTAAGTTTATGCTCATTCGCAAATAACTGAATGGAGAATGTGTTTATTTTATACTTTTATATATTATATTGATTTCTCTATGAAAAAAAATTGTCATTTTAATACTTTCTTAATATGATTATATATATAAAAGATTCATATGAATAAACAATTTTATTGAAAAAATAAATAAAATAAGAATTTAAGATTTTCAAACTATAAATAAATGTTAGGGGAAGGGGGCGGGGGGGGTGGATGGTGTTCAATCACATCAATTGTCTTCTGAAACTCAAATCATTTTTTCTCATATATGGAAAAAGGAAAAAACAGGCCTACCAACAGAAGATCTAACATTTAGTTTGTTTTAACTAGAAGAAAGAACAGATCAAATAAAATTTCTAATTTTCCCCTTTCTTTTGGCACTGAAATACAAATTACTAAAACATACTTCAAAAGTGTTATCAAACAGAAGTAGTAGGTAGGATTTAAAAATACAATCATACACCAAGTTATTCAAGATACTGCATAAGGTAAATATAATAACATGCAAAAGAGTCGCATTTAGATCCATACCATCACTTTAAATGGAAAGCAAAATGAAACGGGGACTTGATAAATACACAATTACAGGAAAGATAACCCTAGTTCCCAGCAATCAAATCATTGGAGAGTCACACCAGAAGGTAATACCATAAAGTAAACCACCATACATCCAACAAGGCAGCACAAAGGATTGGAAATATAAAACAACTGAACGAATGGACAATATTGACAACTTCCAATCTAGAGAAATGCATACCAAAAGTCACAATAAAAAATGCACCGGCAGGGAGAAGGGCGGAAGCAATATCTGAGGCTGGAGGAACCGGAGCTCGAGCTTGAGACTGCTTGTAAACTCTGCGAGAACTAGCGCCATGCCTCAAGCTGCTGCTACCAGAATTAGATGCCGATGATTTAACGTTAAGCTTATTCAAAGGCCACGGCCTGGAAGTGATGCTAACTAAACCGAACGGGGAGACTAAAGCCCGCGGATAGTGGAGAAACAAACAGGCTTTCGATGAATTTCCTTCACGAAGTATATTTCTATGCCTGCTTCCAACATCGAAGGTAATCTGACACGGAAAAAATATATATATATATATCTCAACTGTAACAAGAAGAAAGCGAACAAGAAATGAAAAAGCCAAGTCATAGACATACATACCTTGGTGTGACAGCACAGGGAAAGAGTTGGAGCAAACACCATTTATATGCGCTGATATGTATATATAGTATGAGAGTGTGAGAGGGAGAGAGAACGTGTCTGGTCGGACTGGAGAAAGGGGCTATCGAGTGTTGAAGAATAGAGGAAGGGGATAGAATAGAGAAGCAAGGCAACGCAGTTACGCGGGCGAGTCGGCGAAGGCGATGATGGGGATGGGATTGTATGGGGTGACTGCGGACTCTAATTAAATGGGAGTATTGGGCTATAAGGGAATGGGAGTATCGGGCTATTTCAGAATTATAGCCCACGTAGTTACACTATGCTATGCTCATGAAAAAAGATGCTGGAAGATGTGTGCATATATATATATATAATATATTAGCTAGTCGTGCTATGCATGAATGGATAATAAATTATTTTTTTTGTATTATTTTATTTCTACATTATTATTTTAAATGTGTAATAATAAATTATTTTTAATATTATTGTTTTACACAATATTATATAGTTACATATATTTATATTAAAATATATATATAGGTATTAAAGATTTATTTCATCCATATTATTTTTGAATGTCGTAATTTTTACTAAGTATATTATAAAAATAATATATATTTTATTCACCTTTAAAAAAAATTAATAATTCAAAATATAAAATATTATTTTTATATTATCAATACGATTTTCTCACACTCCAAATATATATATATATACAGGTCGAATGGACGGACAGGATCAAAGCCCCAGATCGGACGGCCAGGGACGTGGCTAAGGAAAAAGACGCGGATCCTAGTCGGGTCGGATCAGGACGTGGGTCAAGGTCGGGAGGCATAAGGTCAGACTGTCAGTATGTATGCGGATGGTCCAAGTTGGGATGAAGTCGGGCGGACGGTCGAAGTCGGGACGGTCCAAGCCAGGTCGAAGTCGGGACGGTCCAAGCCAGGACGAAGTCGGGACGGTCCAAGCCAGGACGAAGTCGGGACGGTCCAAGCCAGGACGAAGTCGGGACGGTCCAAGCCAGGACGAAGTCGGGACGGTCCAAGCCAGGACGAAGTCGGGACGGTCGGTCGAAATCAGACGAAGTCATGCGGACAGAGTCGGACGAAGTCGGACGGATGGTGAGGTCGGGACATGGGCCAGGCCCGAATGCGCTCGGGCTGCGAGACGAGTGTGTATTTGTGTATTTATTCGGGGTGGACCATAAGGACAAAAAATCCAACAAATCCTCCACCTGACTTTTGGTCCGAATGGTCGGGGAACATCATCGCCTATTTTATTTCATTATATATTACCCTATACCTGCAACACAGATACACAATGTTAAAAAAAAAACACTAAATTAGCCTACCAACCACACTAAGTAGTATAAGACTAATCAAAAGTATCACAATGTATATATCTCATACAAGATACGAATTTACTTGCAGGCAGAACCTTAGTACCCATATCAGCTGGGTTATATTCAGACGAGATCTTCTCTAATTTTACTATGTCTTTAGATACTATGTCCCGAATAAAATGAAAACGTACATCAATGTGTTTAGTTCTATCATGAAACACAGGATTTTTACACAATTGAATTCCGGACTGGCTATCCGAAAAAACAGTGACAGTATGTTGCAAGTAACCAATTTCAGTAATTAAACCCTTTAACCACACTGCTTCCTTTAAAGCTTCAGTTATTGCTACATACTCAGATTCAGTTGTGGACAAAGCAACAATATGTTGCAATTGTGATTTCCAGCTAACACTAGTTCCACACAAGGTAAAAATATATGAGGTAGTACTTTTCCTAGTGTCTCTATCATTAGCGTAATTTGAATCTACAAAACCCTCTAACTGTATATTTTTAGTATATTTACCAAAGACTAAACCCACATTGATTGTACCAGATAAGTATCTAAACACCCACTTTAAGGCATGCCAATGTTCTAAGCCTGGATTTGACATATACCTACTTAAACAACTAATTGCATAGGCTAAGTCAGGCCTAGTGCTAACCATTAAGTACATTATGGAACCTATGGCATTAGAGTATGGCACATGCTTCATATATTCACAATCAGATTCAGATTTTGGACATTGGTCCCTACTTAACACAAAATTAGAAGCCATTGGAACAGATACAGATTTTGCATCACACATGGAAAATTTTTTAATAATTTTCGAAATATAGGAGGATTGGTTTAAAAACAGTTTGAAATTTTTTCTATCTCTAATAATTGTCATGCCTAATATCACCTTGGCATCCCCCAACAATTTCATGTCAAAATTATCACACAAACACTTAATCACATTATCAATCAGCTTTATACAGGGACTTATAATCAACATATCGTCCACATAAATGAGAAGAAAAATAGGTTGGCTTTCAACAGTTTTAAAGTATAAACAATAATCAAATTTGCTTTTAGTAAACTCAAGATTCTTCATACAATTATCAAATTTGATATTCCATTGTCTAGGTGACTGTTTTAAACCATACAAAGACTTGTTTAACAAACAAACATGATTAGTTTTATTTTTATCAATAAAACCTTCAGGTTGTTTCATATAAATCTTCTCATCTAATTCACCATGTAAAAAGGCAGTTTTAACATCTAATTGCTTTAATTCCCAGTCATAAAAGGCAACTAAAGCTAACATGATTCTCACAGTGGTAAATTTGACAACAGGGGCAAAAATTTCATTATAATCTATTCCCTCCTTTTGAGTAAAACCTTTGGCTACTAATCTTGCTTTAAACCTAATTCCACTATCTTCTTGTTTAACCTTATAAATCCATTTACAATCAACAAGAGAACAATTAGGTGGTTTAGGGACTAGACTCCAAGTTTTATTATTATATAAAGAATCCATTTCTTCTTTCATAGCTTTTAACCAATCTATTTTATTTTCAGAATTTATGGCCTCCCTAAAGGTCTTAGGTTCACTACCATCTAAATTCTCAAACACACTAAAAGCTAACGAAGTTAAATCAAAATCACCAAACCTACTAGGTAATCTAGGGACTCTCCTATCCCTATCTCTAGTCAATTGATAATTTTCTAGTTCATCTTGATCATTTCTATCAAAATCAGAATTATTATTATTCTCAACAGAATTATCAATTTCAGGCACATTGGAATTCGTTTCAGAATTATTTTCAAGAGTAATTTCATTATGAGCATCAGACAGACTATCATAATTTCCATCATTTCTAATATCAACAGAGTTATGCTCAGAATTATACTCCACCTCATTTGGTGTACCAATTGAATCTACATTTTCAACATTTGATTCAGATTTATCCCACACAGATTTTTCAACATTTAAGCATGGCATTTCATTTTCATTAAACACAACATCTCTACTAATAATGGCCTTAAAACCGGGCCTAGACCTTAACCAAAGTCTATACCCTTTAACTCCCTCCGGGTACCCTAGAAGGACACACTTCTCAGCCCTAGGGTCTAACTTGTCATTATTAGTACGTATAAAGGCAGAACACCCAAAAACCCTAAGGTTTGAAAAATCAACATTTTTACCGGTCCACTTAAATTCAGGACACAAACCATTTAATGGAATCGAAGGTGATCTATTTATTATGTAAGCTGCTGTAACAACAGCTTCACCCCAAAATTTCTTGGATAAACCGGAAGAAGCCAAAAGGCTTCTAACTCTCTCTAAGAGAGTCCGGTTCATCCTCTCAGCCACCCCATTTTGTTGGGGTGTGTAGGGGACAGTTTTATGCCTTTTAATACCATTTTCTTGACAAAACATATCAAACCAAGAATTACAGAATTCTAAGCCATTATCAGTCCTAAGACATTTTATTTTCTTTTCAGTTTGATTTTCAATTTTAACTTTCCAATTTTTGAAAGTTTCAAATACATCAGATTTTTTTTTTAACAGAAAAACCCATACTTTTCTTGAAAAATCGTCTATAATGGACAAAAAATACCTAGACCCTCCTTGTGTGGGCTCACTAGCTGGGCCCCACACATCAGCATGTAAATAGTCTAGTTTTTGTTTTGAAAAAATTCTGTTGTTATTATTGGGAGTTTGGGGAAAGTGCACTTTATGGTGTTTACCATAAACACAGTTATCACAAAAGACTACAGGTTCAAATTTTATTTTTCCAAAACAGCCTGTTTTATGTAAAATTTCTAGACCTCTATTACTTAAGTGTCCTAGTCGTTTATGCCACAAATCACTATTCTCTAAAACAGAATTTGCAGAATTTACAGGCACATTTATTGGTTCAGCGCAAGTAACATACAGATTATTACGTTTCTCAGCTTTAAACATGACTAAGGACCCCTTAGTAATTTTCATGCAATTACTCCCCCATTTACCCTCTAATTCTAAATCGGACAAAGCAGCACAAGATAACAAGTTATTTGATAAACCAGGAACATGCCTCACATTACTTAGTTTCAATACAAAACCAGTGTTAAATTTTAAATTTACACTTCCTATTCCAAGAACATTGGATACACTGTTGTCAGCCATTGAAACAGTGCAGTTTTCTAAGGTTTTGTATTCACTAAAAATTGATTTTAAAGGAGTCATATGATAAGTACAACCAGAATCTATAAGCCATTCATTTGCACAAATATCCACATTTGAACAGTCGGTCTTAACAGCAAAAACATCATCACTCATTTTATCAAGCAATGTCATATTTGCTACTTCACAAGTTTGCTGCCTTTGACTATTGTTACTGCTATCATTACTGTAATTTTTATTTCTTTTAGGGCATTCGCGTATAAAATGATTTGGGTCACCACAATTAAAACATCTTCTACCCCCTTTATTAGGAGTTTTAGATCTGTTTTTATTTCTACTTTTAGATCTATTTTTATTATTATTATTTTGGTTTTTGTTACTACCAAAATTATTTTTCTTATTTGATCTAAAAAGTGACCTACCCCTAACATACATAATTTCACCCTTACTTGACTTGTGAGTTTGTAAATCTAATTCTTTAGATTTTAAACCATTAATAACTACATCTAATGAAATAAAATCACGCCCATATTTAATGGCTGATTTTACATCAGAGTATGAGTTAGGTATGGCATTCAATAAAACTATAGCACTATAATCATCAATGTTTTTATCACCAGTAAGTTTAATATCTTGTATTAGTTTAGAAAAAACATCCAGATTTTCTTCAATTGATTTTGATAAATCAAGTTTAAAACTGAAAAATTTTTCTAACAGATACATTCTACTTGGTAAT